ACAATGGGCATTTTTTGCCCAACGTCGGGTTCCGGGTGAATCGCTTAATTTTAACTGCTGGGTAAAAAGAGATTTAACGTGGGGTAAAAAAATGGTGGTAAATCAACACTTTCAACAACCCGGGTAAAATGAGACAAGTTTGCCCATATACTGTATCGGAAAAGAATCAACGCGGTTGGGTAATCTGTTTGCCAAACTAATTAGACGATTCATCTGGTACCCAACATTGGGCAAAAAAATTTCGTTGTTTACGAGTGAGGCGCACGCTTTGCATGGCGGTTTTGAGACCGTGAACGAACCACGTCTCCACCTCGGATCAATGCCGCCCTTCAATCTGCTAATTATTTCTGTCACCATGGCACTGTGTCGACGTATCTAGCAAAACTTCAACCTTTGCATGCCAAACGCTTCCATCAAGTTGTCCTAGTAACCAACACACTTCATAAGGTAAGGGGAGAATACTGACCAAAATACCGCTGGATATCGGCCAAAGCTACAAACCTCAAAGACAACGTTGAATATCAATTAATTAAAATTATTCCTTGACGTGAACTGAACTGGTTCCCGAATTCGTTTTCGGACGACAGACATTTCAAAACATGTTCTGCTGATTAAGAGGTTCCTACGTGGCTCAAAATTATTTCCTAAACTGTATAAAATAATATTGTTCCATTTAATTTCATTTTGTCTGGATTTGGGTAGAATGTCAAGTTCTAGCCAGACTGGACGATCAAGATGAGAAAAATTCCCAGGAAAAGGGGGGGGGGTGTAATTAGCATAGCATATAATGAGGGTTGCACACAGTGGTACAAGAGTCAATTTTGTGTTCCCCGTCATGGATTGACGCGAAAACCGTGCGTGGGTCTTGACTGATTGTGGCTTGTTAGTCTCGGCAACAAAAGCACAAAAGGGTAAAAAAAAAAAATATCCACACAGTCAAGGGGCAGTAACTCGGCGCTTAGCGTCGATTCAATGCCATCATGGTCGGGAAATCACATTGCCCCACACTGACCTTACATGCAAGCTACAAATATATTACTTTCCCAACAGTGCAATACTTGAAGCTTCTGTATACGATCTCTGAAGAGAACATAGTTCAGCTGCATGTCAATTGTATTCTAACAAAACGCATAAAATGTTGTAAAATTCCACAGAAAGCTGGCAGTAGAAAATTAGCTCCAATATACGAGCACCCGCAAAGTGAGTTTAGCGCGCAGACATTTTGTGACTGCCAGTGAAATTGGTCGGTTTTTAAGCATTCCGATAAGAGACCAACATAAACGGTATGGAGTTATATGAAGCGCATACACTTTGATAACCGAGCTTAGCAATCACCTCGTCATTTATACAATTTAAACACGATCACAATCTGATGCCAAGAGTAGAACGATGCCAGAAGAGAGTTTCATCGCTAGGCACCATTTCTGCCGTAAGAAATTAAACTTGTTATGGGGGGATCAACCAATTTTCCTCGTGGATAGCAAACTGAAAATTTAGTATGCATGAGTAAATAAAATCGAATCCGGTTGACATTCTGAGCCAGCCAAAGGACAGTTATGTCTGTGAGAACGTGTACTGCATTATTAATTCTGTTTGGCCTGAGTCGACCAGGATTTTAATCGACTTTAAGGAAACCCGGGGTTTCAGTTACTGGGGTAATTGCTTTTCGTGAAACGAGACACTGCCGAAAAGTACCGATGCGGAATACCCTTGCTTTTCAACTTGGTGTATTGTACATGAAGTCCATGCATGTCGTTTCTGAGACATGCCTTTTTTTCTCTCGACATTTCCTGGTCAGGAACTTGTTCCACAAAGTGCCGATGCACAGGTTAATCTTTGTGGGTTTTCAATCAAGTAGATTGTTTTGCCTCAGAAGTCTTGATTATATTAAACGTAGTTTAGCAAATATCAATGTTTTATTATTGCAATAAAAAGAAAGAAAAAGCTTGATATATGCGTGTTTCAGAGTAATGCACAACATGAAACTTTATTTTCTTGCGAAGATTTTCTAATGACAAAGTTCATTTGTCAAACAAACTTGTAATTCCTGAATGTAACACTGCTTCCTATGCATTGACTGAATGTCGGGTACCATTTTGTTTACGTGTAGGCCTACATGTATTTTTTTCGTAAAATTGTTTCGTTAATTTCGCGTGTGTTGTTTTTGTTTCTAAATCAATGCAAAATGTAAAAGGGGGCAGAAGAGGAGGACGTTCAGCCGCCTTCATGAAACAGCTAACAAGCTTAATTGGTGCGTGTTTTCAAGTGACATTTACTCCGACTAGCACTGGACGCCAAATATCTAATGATTTTTATCTGTGTCCCATTTTTTTAAATTCAAGGAAAAAAAAGCAAGTTGCAAGCTTCGATGTAGTTGATGACAATGCTGTTTCTTGTCAAATTGGCATCTAAAGCGTCGACGATGTCCTACGTGATCTCACAATGGGATCTTGGATGGTTGTAAAATGATTCTCATTCGACGGCAAAGATCTCATTGAGAGGCGGGAATGATCAATACACGAGCACTAAATTATTAATCTCTTCGGCCATTTAATCGATCTACTGCCCTTCGCGGAGGCCACGAAAACAGAAATCAAAACACAATTTCAAAACCTCTGTAGCTTGAAACGAAGCAAAATGACGAAGCAAACTGTGGTAATGGAGTGCATTTGCATTACACTGTAAGGCTGAAAGGAGCGCTGTAGAATTGAGACATTGGAATGGCTTCGGGCAGATGTTGACGCAATGAACATAAATTGTGAAGTGTTGAGCGGATTGGAACGGGCTTAATACATCCTTGGAAAGCAGATGGCTGTTACTATACCAGGGGCTTAAATCCAGGGGGTGGGGATACATGTACATCTCTCCCCACGCTTGGTTGACTAAAGGAGGACGGGCACTTTGGTTATATTTTTAGTGGTGAGAAAACAAGCCATTTGGTGCCTATTTTTAGGTTAAATGTATTAACTTGCTATGGGAAAAAAGCACGAATTGTGACAGAATACAGAAAGTTTAAACGTAGGCCTAATTAACCTCTGTAAGGTTAAGGCCCGAAGGCGCTCAAGTATCACTCTACAAATGCGTTTAGCAATTAGACACAATTTGGCTTTCACTATATGTAAACATGTCTAAATGCTAAACGTCAGGTGTCCAATAACTATTAACGTTCACTGGCTAAACACTATCCCTCCAAATTCTAAGCACGTTTTGAATTTAAACAATGCTTACAAACTGTTAAAAAGAAAGTGTTTAGAAAAGCATAGGGCCTAATACAGAAACTGCTGCAAATTGCTTGCTGGCAATGCTGGACACAGCGACCTAAATTACAAAACAAGTAGCTGGACCTGACGTCTAGATCCTAACAGAATCTTTCTTGTTGCCTTTATTAACATTCTGCCAGGATGGAAACGCCAGGCCCTCCTTCATCTTGTTTAGAAGAGTGTTTAATGGCTAAACACAGTTGTACACGATGTACATCATGAACAGCGCCCCCTCCCAGTCTTCGTGGTACTGTGTCAGTACCCCCTTCGCGTTTTGAGTTACCACTGGCGGGCAGTTTTACCGTGACGGTCGTCTCCTAAGCATGATACCGTGCACGATATGGGGCCGATGGGTACCTCCCACAAGTGCAATCCCTATACACATTCTAGACTATTGTAACCCAACACATCCCCCCTAGAAGTCTGTAAAGAATTCCCGAGATTCCGATCAAGCAATGACCAACACAATTAAAGGCGGGGTTCTCTCCGCGCCATATCTTGCATCATATGCTAAGTGTAGGGGCCTACACCCCACCACCGTGATCACAAGAACTTGAAGCCACAAGGGATTTACGCCACTTCTTGCCTCATTGAGATTTGAACTTAAAAAAGCGACTATTTTTTGCGCTCGAGGAACACTCCCGTCGATCGCCCGTCGAAGAGACTAAAATCGTCAATCTGGTAGCACTTATGCAACACATATTTCCATGCTTTTTTATCATCCATTTCCACCGTTCTGGTGGTGCATTCGCATCACATGTTGCCGTTCTTTTCGGAAACTGCACCCCTTGCATTCCCTGAACACCTTTTAACAACGATATTGCCAAGGGAACCTTGACAGCACTGGGACGATGAGGCAGAACACGAACCATAACAGGCTGGATACATCCAGTAATGCATATCATTAAGGATTCAGAATAGTGCATGAACTCGGCAAGTTGCACCCATTATCTTGCTTCAATAGGTTTAGACTTTTGCCCAGATGTAATTGCGTTACGCACGCTTTCACGAACAATGGACACCATAAATCCTCCGGAGAGAAATACCCTACTGTCACGAAGTGCAATCTCAATCTTCACGAGCGTCATAAAATTGCGGCTTCGGTGAAGTAATCACGCGGCTGAAAACAAGAGGGTATTGAAAGGTTCACCGATGGAGAAAAGCACGACCTGTGTTTGTGAATACTTCTGCTATGGTGCTCTGAGTTTCTTAACGACACAAAGCCACGGATTTTGCAGGTCCAATGACTTTAATTATGGGGAGATCGAGACCCACTCTTATTCTGTTGCACAAATGAAGCCCTGGGAAGCTTCTTATGGAATCACATGATCTAAATGGTACCTGGTTGCAATTTTGTGGATTACCACTGTGGTGGTAGGTCGTGCGTCACGCAGGAGGGACGCATCATCTTGAAGAGGCGTTGTCACGTTGGTTTCTGTGTTTTACTCCCCATGGTTTCTGGAGACTGTTTGGTAGCGTTGTAGCAAATAACCAGTACTGGAGATAATGATGCAACGAAACACGATGTCTGCTAATCTGACAAGCCCCAAAATCCAGTCGGATCAAATGGCAAAGTATGTAAAACAGTTATAAACCGCGTAGACACCCATGAAAGAAAAAGCCTCTCCCTGCCGAGAAATATTCTGTGTACAACAATTCGACCCGTGGACAACTTGATTGGAGAAGACGGTGTACGACTTGGATCATAAAACCAAAAAAACATTTCCAACACTGCATGGAGAAACTCGTGCAACTCACATTTTAATCACAACATTTTACCTTTTTTTCCTGTATGGCGGGCGTGCGTGCATGCAATCGCCTATGAAAATTAATCACGTAGATCCATTACACCGTCCGTATATTTATACCTCCGTATCCTCAAACAACGTGGTGGAGGAAAAGTACGCGGCTCAGAAAACTAGTTGACAATATCAACATAGTGTTCTCGTGTTATTATTTATAAGCTAACGTACGAATACGTTTTGTTGTGAAATCTACACCTCTAACCTGTCAAATGAAATCACACGTATAACATGCATCCGTTAACAAGCAATTTTCCTCAACCTACAAGTACATACATACCTCATAAACGTAGGAATGTCTAATGATTACCACTCACGTCTGGTTCAAGGATTCGGTTGAACAGGCTGCAGTCTATATTTATGGAAAGGAAGCGTACATGTAGGCCCCCTATGCAAAGCGCACCTACTTAAGTTCAGAACGTGAAAAGGGGAAATTCCTTTGATAAGATCAAGGTGGTGTTACCCGCAGCTCTGGAATGTAGACGACTGTTCCTCTTACATTTCTCAACCATCTTTCGTTTTGAGACTAAGCATTTCTCGTCCCAGTTCTTAAAATCGTCTGTGTGTATGAAAAATCACAAAAAAAGACAGTTTCGTACAAAGGCTAATTTTACTTGACAGTACAGTGCTCTGCTCTGCTATGTTCCTAACATGGCAATAAATCAGGGAAAAGCTGGCATTTTATTCTCAGTAGCAAATGTAAGCCTTAAACAGCAACATTGTATTAGGGTTCTTTTTAACAAAACTGCACTCACTGCTGAAATGTGGGTCGTTTCACCTAATGTTTATAAATTGTTTGCCAATTATGAGTCCCATATATAAATGTAAAACACTTATTTAAAATCTGATTCTCACAATCAAAATATACAATCAGACCATTTATATTTAGAGATTACTCGATAAACTTGACTTACTGTCGTAAATGGGAGAGTTTTCTCAATCAAGATATACATAAGAATATTTACATATTTAGAATATTACATGTATTCATGATCTGTAACAATGATATGATTTCCTTTACCTCTTATATGTGCTATAATTTGACATTATATAGCTATATCTTTGTACATAATAAAGATAATTTTCTAATCTTTTCCAAGTGACATGATGGTGGTAATTTATTATCATCTAACATATTTAGAATTTAGGCTGATCAGCATATTTTTCTGAATCAGTAGAATTTAGCAGATTAGTAAATCAACCGTTTTCAGTGTGAATATAGCATTATTTCACAGATGGGTGCAAAAGTTAAATCAAAATATGTCATTATAACTATCTTAAACTGACGAGAATCGACACCTGTGATACCAAATATGACCCTAAAACCAACAGAAGCAATAGTGCCAGGTGTAATACAATATTGTAAATATGTGCAATGAGTTTTTGACACAATACACTTATCATCACATCTACATGGCAAGATGCATATTTTCTCAAGCCTCTTCGATAGTAATACATGTTAACACAGTGTGTTACAAACTAACCGTCATCTCTTCACACAGACTAAGATAACTTATCAACATTCACTTCATATTGATGACGACAGGTTATCACCTTACATCATTGTGCTTTCTATGTCCTCCCCATCATGCTCACCGGGTATCCAATCGCTGGTCGCATTTTGACCTTTCATGCCGATTGGTGGCGCCCTCGGCGATTCGCAGACGCCCTGGGTCTCTTTTCCCGGTCGATCGTCTGCATCGCTGTCCTTGTCATCATCGGCTGATGGGGTGGAGCCAGCCTTGCCTTTGGTGGCGGTAAACGCAGATCTGGAGGCCTTCTCAGCCACTGCGGTGGAGTAATTGGGCGGGTCGTGGTAGGCCTCCACAGCCACCGTGATGTCGGACGCATCACGGCTATCACTTTCTGGGGGTGCGGAGTGGGCCACGCCATTGCCCAGCGATGCCGCCTCGCCAGCCGTTGCTGCCGCTGCGCCCAGGGTTATAACGGGTGAGGCCTCGTCCAGGTGCCAGTCTGACACCTGCAGGCCCTTGTTGTCATAGGAAAGGGCCCGGATCTCACCACTGTCATCCTCTTCGCCGCGGGTCGAGGCCAGGATTTCAGCCACCTCGCTGCTCAGGTGGCCACAGTTGCAACCGAAGAAGTGACCGAAGCACCAGAGGCCGCAGCCCCGTTTGATGCCCTGGCGACCGTAGCTGGTGCGGATGTTGATTTCTTTCTTCACTAGTTCAATCTTTCGATCCACCTGAAAAATAGGAGGGTCAGGAAATCAGGCAAGGTGCACCAAAACACTCAGACACGAAGACCAGCATCAGTTCGTATGTATATCACCGAGCTTCGATTATCAAAATCCTGATTTGTTTTGTTTACAACCCTGTTACATCATATTTTCAGTTCAGTAACAAGATTTGCTCAACTCAACTAGAGATTGGCAGCCTACCTCGTCAATCTTGTGGCGTAGTTTAGTCTCTTCATCGACCTCCTCTTCGTAGATCTCATCGTCCGTGCGGTAGTCCGGGTCTGTTTTCTCACCGAGTGTGCTACGCAAGGCAACCAGCTAAAGCACGGGGATTATTGAGACCGGCAAGATGACAAACAAGCTAAGGTTTCACCATAAAGCTGACAAGAATAACTATAAATCCTGATCTAATCATCAGAGGTGTCCAAAGATGGAAACCCGAAGAACATTTGTTGGGGACGACTTTATTTTAATACCTTCTTCTCCAAAGCATGTTATGTAAAACTAAAAAGCCATCAAAACTAGCCTCATGCCTAAGAAATTCCAGAAAACTTCGTAATAAATACCTCCATTTTGCCCCCACCCCTAAAAAATTGACCCCCCCAAAAAATTTAGGTTCTGGATCCACTGCCCGCCGCTCTCGATCTCAATTATAAGACATGTCACAAGGCAGTCATATTTGTAAAACATTATTTTATTATCATTTGCCATTACTTGGGTCAATTGTGGCCCGTGCTTATGCCTTATTTTTAGAACACTGGTTGACGGTGAAATATCGACAGAATACAAAAATTTGCAGGCAAGCAGTTTGTTGTTCACCTTTGGCACGAAAATTACCAGCACGGTCAGCGTGACGGCAGTCCAGGTCAGCGCTCCAATGACCGCGTAGGAGATCTGCGGAGTGTTACTGAGGATGAAGGAGAGAGGTGCGCTGACCACGCTGAGCGTCACCACGCAGTAGATGGCAATGCCAGTCCAGAAGGTGTCATTCAGGGAGAGGATTTTTAATTCACGCGTCTCATAGGCCAGGAAAGCACCTGATGGTGAACCGAAAACAAGCCATCAGATGTCAGACTATAAAAAAATTCCTGATTTTAATAGGTTCAGTCCTGAATTTGGCCCAATTGTTGAATGTCTGAACTAGTAAGCAGGAGGTCATGGGTCCGAGTCCCAGCCTAAAACAATTTGCACTCTAAAGACGTCAGGTAGATACCAAAGCGAAGCAAATTTGACGTTTCGAAACAACTGCAGGAGAGTTCGCTTGAGTTGAAATGCATTCAACTTTTGCAAATTCGCACTACACGTATTTGATTGCTTTGGCAATTTATCGAATCACGCCGATAACTTATAAAGTTGTATTTTGCACATCTGCATATGCAATGATGTCATACATACAAATGCAAAGGACACCTCACCAAGCAAGAGGGCTAGGCCGTGAAACACAAACAGGCCTACAATGAAGTACACGGCATCGCCCTTGCTGCAGAACTCAACAAGGTCGTTGTATAAGGTGTTCTCGTCTTCATTCAACTGAAAGGACAAGAACATTTTGAAAATGCGTATTAAAGGTTCCTGGGACAGAAATGTTGATAAAAGAGCATATTTCAGGAATATGCAACAGTTAGAAATGAGTTGAGGTTTGAGACTTTGGACACGGATGAAGCCACTGGATGTTGGTCTCCTATAGGGGTGTGTTATTTCCATCCATGACCAATCGACAAGCGAAAGCAGTTTATTCACAGGATTGTGTACAGTCATAACCAGTGTGATAAATTGACAGCCCAGCCAAGATCGATCAGGACAACCAAATCAGTTGTCGATATATTGGGTACCAGGCAAAATCGAGACCGCTGGCAGGTAGAAGTCATTGTCTCACCCTATTTTCCACGATCTCCGTGGTGGACTCCATAGGGAAAGCGACGATCCATACAATCAGAGTGGCAATGTCAACCACGAAGAAGATCAGCATGGTGCGGGCCATGTGACCACCGTGAGGATCCTATGGAGAAAAGGTCCAAGTTGAGGACTTTCCAGTTTCTTTGACAATAGTGTAATTCGACTACCAGAATTAGAAGCCATAACTGCAGTGGCACAATGCTCATGGATAGGTGGTACGCATGCGTTACATGCCTCTTCGACCAACAGGGTGTCGTGTTAAATGCATGCGCACATCAAGCTGAAGGATGTGCCTGTGAGTACGGTGCCACCGCAGTTAGGGCATCTGATCGGATTAATCTATACAGTACATCATCCATCTATACAAACATATCCATTTCCAATGTGCAGTACAGCTTTTGCTTGAATATCTAAATCCTTCACTTTGATTGACGATATGTTCATCTTCTGAACAAATTTTCTGTTTTACTGAGCACTGAGTGCATCGACAAAATATTTCCCACGTTTTGATGTAATCCTTCCGTTGCTTCATTTTAACAGTTTAAGTTACAGTTAACTTGTTGTGTTCTGTGCAAACATTTCACTGGCATATCATCACTGAGCTTGTAAACCACACTTGAAAAGTTGAATGTTGTAGTACCTACCGGCTTCCACAGGTTAGCCTTCGTCACCAGCAGTTTGTGCGCCCGATATATCTTCGCGAATAGAACCCCGTATGCACAGGCGAATCCAATGGTTAATGTTGAAGAACTCAGCTATGAAATTTGTACAACCACAAATAAATGGTTTAAAGTGGAAAAATGACATCAAGAAAAGGAAAATTTAATACATTTTGATAGCATGTAAGTGAAATGTGTTTGATTTTCAATTTAATAACTACATGCAACCAGAATGATTTAATAAGGGGTAACTACGATATTGGATTAAACTTAAATCAGTGAGTTCAAAGAACTGATAAAATGCACAAAAGCATACAAATGTAATAGTAAGGAGTGGTTCATTTACGTGTGATGAATAACTCTAACCAAACAGGCAGGAAATTGTGATGCATTTGTAAAACATTTAAGAGAATAAGCATAAGAAGATTGCATCCGATAAAGAAATACCAGAATTACTCTTGTTTTCAAATGGACAGATTCATACATAAGGAATGACATAATATAAAGTGTACTTTGAAAATGTGTGTTATAAATGTGTAAAAATTAATGTATATACGATGTAAAACAGAAGGAAGGCTAGATGAAGACCTTGCACATGATGGTAAAGTTTTCCTCTCCAACCAGACTGCTATCCAACCCAAGAAGGACCACAGAGCCATAGAGGAGAATGCAGCCGAACAACATGACTCCTAGATAGCCAGGCATGGTCCTTCCAAACACCCTGCAGCAGAACAAGAAACAAACGACAATTAAGTCCGTACATATCAATTGATACCTCCGGGTTTGAGAATGTTTACTATTATGAACTAGGAATGCAAGATGGGCACTATGCTCAGTTAACGTGAAAAAAATTAACCCCTCCAACTTCTGGAGGACTTACATTCTTGATGAACATTCCTTAATAGCTTTGATCAATCCCTCGGATCGTGGACAGCAGTTTATTTTGGTCTTAGATTCTCCACAACGTCCCCTCATTTTCATAGAGGGTGTCCTCAGACAAGAACTTCACTTTTAAACTTTCACCACACCAGAGATAAAAACCGGTAAGTGCAATACATGTATATGTGTAACTAAAATATGCCAAATTCACCCAATACGTACGATCTCTGCCTGTAAACTGCCATGAAGAGAGCAAGCACTAGAACCAGCGTGACTCCGACACTGGAGAAGCCGGCGGCCACATAGACATAGGTGTGCGGAACATACAAGGTGATATTTGTCTCAGTGGTCTCGTCTTTAGGGGCTTCTCCACCTAAGAAAAAGTAAAGTCAAACCGAGTCCCAACGACATTTTCAATACGAACAAAATGCAGAATTGAAATACTAATGACCCGTTTAGTGCCATCAGTAGTGAACGTGACTTCTATATGGATAAGGTACCATAACACGAGGATTTTGGAAAATATGCTTGCTTCAGAGAACATGCAAGAACGACTTACCTTGCCATTCGATACCTTCGAGGATAAGCTCCTCCTCCTGAGGCGAGTAGCGGCCGATCGGTTTCTCGGTGCCGTCTGAGCGATTGAATGCATAAATACAAGATAATCAGTGATTGATTCAAAAGTAACAAGCTTGACTACATACTAAAGTTTATGCATTTGGTAATTGCATGATGAACACGGTTTAAAAGTGAAAAAGTTCCATGTGTGGTCAAATCTTAGCTTACCTTTCATCTGTCTGACTTCAATCAATCCTTCTCGATTGCCATCTCTGGTAAAGCTGACTGTTCCCTGCAAATGTGCAAAACACTGTTGTTTCCATTACATTCATATTCTTATAAACTTCAAAATGAAATCCGCACTGGCGTCAGGCTTTTAACATGAACCTTAGACAATCCGCCATTAGTTTGCATAAGAGCTTGTTTGAGACGGCTGTATGGTTTGTCTATGCGGCTTTCCAGCGTGCACACTAATGATAGAAACTAAATTGGCCAGAGAATGCTAGATTCAAACACCGCCTGACATACGTAAAGATTGTGGACTGCCAAGCATTGTGGCAGTTGGACATTGAGGTCAGAAGAAATCTTCAATAAACTTTTTCCGAATTTCAGGACGTGTCATCAGGAGCAATGTCGTCTTGAACAAAACACCAGTGAGAATGACGGGATCGAGCCAATCTCTTTTGAACGAAGGAGACAAAATCCTTCATTCTATCCATGTCATTCTTACGCTAGTCAACTGAATTGCAATCGAACATGAACACTGATGTTGTATTAATACCTCAAGTAAAAATGCATTAAACTAAAAACAATTCAAGTACTCAACACTTTGTAAATCTTATAGTTTCACAAAGTGTCAAGAGCGAAAAGAATGTTTTGAGATTAGGATAAGATTTATACTGATATAATAGCGATACTCACCGATACTCCTTCAAATTGCAAGTTGTACAGAGTATCCATGAAAACTTCCCGCATCTTCTTATTTTCGTAGTGGAAATCCTTCAGCCCGTTTGTAAAGTTGCCTGGAGGATAGACACCGGTAGCATTTAGGTTTTATACAATACACTTGTTAGCATGACGTCGTGAAGACGAACCCTTACTTCTATTTAAAAAGTAAACTTTTAAAGCTGCGAATATTGAAAGCAGAAATATACATGAAGTATATATACTTGTTGCTCATCTGCACACACAATAAACAACTCTGTATAAACAGACGTCTAACAAGCAAGACCCTGAAAGCAGAAAATATGCCCAAAGTGAAGACATTATTTTGATGGCCAGAGAAGATTGATCAAACTGAAAATATTGGCACTATTTACGGTCAGTGGCATAGCCGGGGGGATGTGCCCCCCCCAAAAAAATCCCTGTTTGCAGGGGGCGTTTACCCCAGAAAATGAAGAACATAACACGAAAAACACAAAAAAAGAAAAGGAAGGGAAAAGAAAACGGCCATTTCTGAGAATTTGCCTAGGAGCTTCGACCCCTGTTTTTGGTTCGTTGTTCTACGACTGCTGTCTGCATGTCCTTGGGAAAATCTACGCTCCTGACCATGGAACTGACGAAATGGTGGGCAGGAGCTACATAAACCTACAAGCACATTGCTACAAATTTTGTCAAAAGAAGCATTAAAGGGTAACAAAAAGGCCAACAACAGAAATGAATGGATGGATTACTCAAGCTTTTGTTCAGTGTGAGCGCGATAGTCCAGGTGGCGTCATACGCATAGGAAGCCGCCGCCTTGTTAGCGTCGAACGAGGTGGAGTTTTCATGGGCCGCAAAGAGCTCGTCCACAATAGCCTCGTATTCTCTCGCAGTCTGGACAAGACGAAAATGGCAATTTGACGAATTATTCAATAGGTGAACAAAATATGTGACTTGCTTGGCAACTACAAGATTTGTTAAAGCCCTGGTTAACAACAGAAGCCTGCCTCAAAAAAAAAAATTTATGAGTATAAAAAAATGAAAAGAAAACCTCATTTTGTATTTAAATCACTTGATCATCAGCTGTTAGTAAATGAACTTTAAAAAATAATTTTAAACATTTACACGTGTATTTTGGCTTTGAAAAAGTCATTAACAAGCCTAAGCCTATTGGTATACCACGAGCAGACACTGTTTGGTTACTTACTCAAGCTAAGACTGACTTTAGAAAAAGGAAGAAAGTGAGATATGAGGCCGTTTGGTTGAGAAAAAACATCGTCAAAGGAGTACCCACAGGAAAAGGAGTGTAGAATATGTCCTTTTAACACCAAGGAAACGCCAACCCCTTAATACTGACCCAAAGGAATACAAACTTGCCTCCAAAACTCCTGCAGGGTCGCTAAAATAAACGCTTCGACCCGACTTTCCCTCGTTATCATTTTGTATATGTGTGTTGATTCTACTCACATAACCAGACGCCGTTATCCTATCCTTGTAGATACTCAGGGGGATGTTCTCCGTTGAGATGTACCCCTTAATTGCCTTGTACATCTCCTCTGGAGAGCAGGAAACGCTATCATCTGGCTCCTCCCACCATTTATCCTGGTACCCGCCAGGAAGGAACCAGGCGTAGTGTTTACCATAGAGCTTCTCGCGGTATGCCTTTGGGTACCATGAACAAAGTAAACTCCATGTTTAAACCACGGGCAAGTTAAGACAAAGACCGAATATGTTGAGATTGACATTGTTAAGTGCATATGTCTGGAGGGGGTCTTAGACGGTTTATGTTCGTACTTAAAATAGCATGCAGTACTTGTAAAAAATTCTCTAATGGTGTCCCACACAGAAAATGGTGTTGCTCAACCATATGGCATTATGATCAGAGTTTGCTGCAGTAGTTACAATCTGCTTCTCCTCACTCTTTGGCTAAGTTTGACCACCAATGATGGTCTGCTGCCAGGCACAGGGGCATATATGGGAAAAAATGCCTGAACGCCCTCCTGCCAGGTACATGAGAAACTGATGTCATTTGATACCAACTACCCATTTGGATTTAAAAGAAATGCTTGACTTTAAATAACTTTTTGCTACAGTGGAAAGAAGCTGCAATAATTACGTGGCAAAATACACGTCTGGCCATGTTCTCGTAGAAGTTGCCAAAGATGATCCACGCTCCCTTGCTCTGAAATTTCAAAGTATAAACATACCTGTTAACCCATTGAAATAGATGCTAAGGCAAAGTTGTAAGTGTGATAACCTGCTCCATATTATATCGAACAGTGTCAAATTATAAGTGAAAGGATTTTACAGAAATGAATCCGAAGAGATATCAAGGCGGAAACAGGTTGCATATGCATCCAGCATGGATCAATCTATGTATGGTTCCTTTTCACTTATTCTAACTTGCTAAGATTCTATGAAACTTATTTCATTTGAAACTTGGAACGTTATTCCCCTGGAAAATAAACTGACACAGTTAATGTGTAGGAAAGAAAAGCTATCCATGGCATAATCATAAAGACGTCGACCTCTAAACCTGTATTTTATGCTACCAACCTTAAGATTTTTGACTTGTTCTTCTGGGTCCACAGTGAAACTCTCGGATGTTATCAGATCAATTCCGTTGTTAGCTAGTAAAGCACTGAAGTCGTTGATTGACTTGGAAAATGACAAAAGACGAAAGATTGTAAAAAGATGAAGTAGCAAACGTGTTGCCATCAGACAGACATATCGGTATTTCAATTTGATTTTTTCTGTGGAGGCAAACAAGAATTTTAAACTTGTTTGGGTATATAATTTGAATCAAGTCACTCAAGCTGGAGGCAAAAATTTGCTTAACTAAAGGCGGAGGCTTAGAGGTATGTTCCACATACTGTTGAAAACACTTCTTGATTTTCATGGAGGGTGGCCACTCTGGTCCAGTTGAATCGCTTGATCATTGCCAAGCGAGCATTGTTGTACTGGGAATCGGCAGCATTGGTTCGGAAGAAAGTCTTGTACTGGCTGCGCACAGAGAGTGCAGGACTAGATGCGGAATATGATACCTGGAGAAAGATCACCCAAAACGCCAGTTACACAGTCACTGCTTATCCATTGCACCTGTGTTTGGATTTGAGCTCAAGTGGCGTAGCCCCCACAAATTCCTGGTGCCTCCCCCACTGAAAAAAACCAACTAACAAATGATTGGATATTGAACAAGGCTAACAAAAACTGGCCCCCAAAAAAACACACCACTGAAAGCTGGTGCCCCCCCATAAGATGCTGGTGCCCCCACTAGTAAAATCCTAGCTATGCCACTGTTGAACTCTGCCTTCACAAGCAGCTATTAGTTACAAACAAAGGAACCAACATCCTTTAAGCTGAACCATTCAAAATCAGCCGGATGACTTAATCTGAGCAAACTAAAACAATTACAACTTGGGCATAGGTACAGTTCTTTCTCCACGAGACGAATTTTAAGTTAACAAGGTTGGCACAGTGGAAACACTGTAGTGACAGTTGAAATGATCACCATTTCCTACAACTGCAAAGGACAGAAGAAGAGAATTCAGTGCCACAATGAAGAATTTGCTGGCGACTGCACAAACTGGTCCACAGTCACGTTTTATGCCAGGCAGTGCTTGATATGGCATTGTGTAAGTTCTATACCCAATGGGGATTCTAACTTCTAACCTCATTTAAACTCACGAGATTGTTTTATAGTTCTAAAGTTACAAATTTGGTTCGACAGACAATATGAAATTGAGACTGTTATGATTTTCAAATCAAAATGGTTCAAACTATTATACATCACTATTGAGTCTCTGACGATCTATTGAGTTCAATGCTGCAGTTCTACCTACCTGGATGATGTTCCAGAGGTCGGCAGCTAAGGAGATGGTCTGTGCTACAGAGGAGCAGCCGGCTCCGAGAAGCATGTGGTACTTGGTGCCAGAGTTGATATGTTCAAAGAGGGCCTGTGTAGCAATGCCTGCATTACACTACACCAAACCAAGACGAATATAAATTATAACGGTGGATATAAGACATAAGCTCATAAAAAAATAAGAAAACAAAATAGTTGGTGGGCCCTAGTCGGTAATTCATTCATAGTTAAGATGAGAGGTGTTGCGAGCCAAACTTTGAAGTAATACCTCCATATCAACCAGCCGATTTGATCATACCAGCCTTCGGTTATAAAAAGTGAAGGTTGCGCATAAAAAGCCACACCATTAGCTAGCTGTGTACATGCTGTAAAAGTCCTGCCGATGTTGACAACGTGCGTTTTACTAATGCCATAGTTTCCCTCTAACGATGTGAATTGAAAAAGTATGACGAAAAACTAATGACTCGTTTGCAATAGGATCCTGACCCTGCCGATTAAACTTAAAACAAAAACGTAAAACACAAACCCCCCCAAAAAAGAACAAAAAATCAAACCAGAATAAAACAAGAAACAAATCAAATCAATGCAGCCTCGCTTATGATAACGAACAAAAAAGAGACCAGCTACCGTTGCAGGAATAAAAACAGATATATTGGAGCTTCACAACAATAATTTTGTATAAATCTCGCTTATTAATGCATGTAGCTATGAGAAAGGAAATGGGAGCAGGTATTCTCCTAGCTTGCCCTACAACCCCTTTGAGAAATTCCCCCTCTCTTTCAATGTTGCTTGTATCCCGGAGAAACTTCCCCGGGATTTAACATTCCAAGTAAACTAAAGACAAAGTAAAGTGACTCTCTGGAAAGCAATTGATGTCTACTTGGTGATTGAGACTGAATGCTCAGTCACATAGAAAGAACAGACACATTGTGGAAATAACAAATGGCTACGGCAAAGGAACGGCAAAGCTGACAAGGCGGCTTATGTAAAGTTGACATGGATGTGACATGTATAGGCAAATTGCTGATTAATCTCTGCGATAAATTCATCTGCTCACTACATCGGTGTGACAAGCGGAATGACAAAACCTGCAAACCGAACACGAGCAAAGTCATCAAAAGCAGATTATATACTTTAGGCATTCACTCCCTAGTTGAGAGAGCGGATGCAGACCGTACTGAGATGGGACGATGTTGAGTAACTTGTTCCAACTTCTACACACAAGTGTAATAAACACTGATAATAAATCTTTTAAAGAGGTACAGTAAAACCACGCTCAGCATACACGTGCATAATTGTGTCGATGCTCACAGTAAAAGTAATCGAGTGCATTAGTTTGAAATAATTATGCAAGCAAATAAATTATGCAAGAGTTCATGGAGACAAGCTAAAATCTACGTAAATCAGATAGACAGCATAGTGCTATATTAATCAACATAGCGTGACTGAAGTAGGCTTTTATACTAAGATGTAGCGACAGAAACATTAAGTTTAAGACTCCCGATGGAATGATATGTAGGAAAGTTCTTTTCCCTTTTATTTCAAATGTCACCCTATGTCATAAAGCAAATTACCAGGGAGTTTTTCATTTACTTACAAAGCTATCATTCCAGTTCATGGCAAGCTGATAGCCCGGAAGAATATCTGCCTTGTTGTTGATGTGTTCCAGGGCGAGGTTTGCCGCCAGCAAGGCGCTGCTCCCTCTGTGCAAAATATCCCTGGAGATCGGAAAGAACCCCACGATGTGCAGCGGCCACCTCAAGTCGACATCCTCCGATAGCGCTGCAGTTGATGAACTACTTGGAGCAGCAGTGGATGCTACCGACCCCGTGGTGAAACCGGGCTGCAGCGTGGTGGTGGTGGTGAACTGGACACCAGACGTCCCTGATGTCATGGTATCCGTGAGTACAGCACTGGTTGAGGGCGGCAGACTCAGGGAGACTGTGGTGATGGTGTCGACTGCTGACTGTGGAGTCAATGTAACCGAGGAGTTCGGTGTTGGCTGCTGTGCATATGGTGTCGAGGCTCTCAACAAAATCACCACTAGCACACAGTAGTTCTCCATCATTTTTACAGCTCGTTTCCGCACTGTGATAGAAAAACGAGATGCCTTTTAACAAATGCCATCTGTTATGAAACTCCCCGAATTCTTCATACTAATTTTTATGTAATGTCGGTGTTTCAACTGCAGATCATACAGTTTTCAGGACACAGGACATGTGGACCAACCAAAGCTATCAATATTTCTTACTTTCTTTAGTCTCAAAGGAGATTTTGAGAGAAGAAACGTGTTGACACCCATTGTTCCTAGCTTTGGTAAAGAGTCTCAGCACAATATCAGCATGCATGTGAAACAAAAACAAAGAACCACCAAAAGAAAACGTATACACCTACAACAAAAGCAGGATTTATCAATGACAGGAAACATTCCTTTGTAAAAACAGAAAGCTGTATCATTTTATGGATCAAGCAAATAGGCCTGTGCCTTTTACCCGGGTACCTGCTCGTCGATATCAAAACCCGGTTCCATTTTTCCGGGCCGGGTACTCGTAAAAACAAACAAAAGAAAGGTGTAAATAAATTAGGAACAAATATCCATATATAAAATGTCTGTGAAATTTCTTACGAAAGGGCAGACTTCCTGAAAAATCAACGTGCCGCTGAAAACCCGGTCCCACGGTCATACATAAAACTTCAGTTCAGAGATCGACAGCTACTTTTGTTATCCACTCTGCCTGTTGTACTACAGTCGTTTTCCTAGTTCCAGAAGAGCGAAAACCCACTAAAATTCACCGGCGATAGGCCACTCACTGCGTGTGATTTCAAATACTTCTTTAGAATGAACAGTCATATAAACCTTTGTATCTAATGTCTGCTTAATCAAAATGACTTTTAGAGTTTCTGTTTTCTTTGTCAATTGACAGAAAACTGAAAGTTTTTCCCATTACCACGCAAATTTGTTGCGAACTGAGCTACACAGGTGCAGCAGAAGTGTATGTGATGTAATGGGTTCGTCAACTGTGCAGCGCGGGGAGGGTACCGTCGATAGCTCGCTGTACAGTTGAAAGTCGAGTCAAATTTTAAGCAATTTCTACTTTTTAATTCATTGGAATTCTTTATTTTCATCTAATTTTCTCAAAATTAAGACATTCTTTATTAGAAAAGTAACATTTTACAATGGTTCTGGCTGAGAATGGATTTTTCACATGGTTAATGTTTATTTGTGAAGACGTTTTTGTCTTGATCTTAAACCGATCCAGAACTAAGAAAGGTGTTGTCGTCACTTTTGTCGATCCTTTGAGTCCAAATATAAAAGCTTAGATTTTGAAAAAAAAAACAATTAAGGTATCTCCAAAACTCAAAGTTGACTTCTGACCATATTTTGCTTGAATTTGAGGATTTTGTAGCTGCAATTTTACCGAAAAATTTTCACGATCTGGAACCAGGAAAATGACTGTAAAAAACCTATATGAACAAGAGACCGAAGGAATTTTGTCTTCTGTGATAAGAAGTGATCGACTTTTATTATTAGCTAGTAACCAAAGTACTGAATGTTCCCCATATACCCAAAGAGTCAGAGAACCAGTTTAGTTTTTGATACCAAGAAATATGCTGTAGTCGTCATTCAAACTTCAGTTTCAAGATTACATTTAAATTAAAGCAGTATGAATTTCCTCAGTGATTCAGCGAAACTATGGATAAGGAATTGAACAAAAAAGCAGGAAGAATGTTTTCTGTATGTACTAAAGCATTTAAAATCTTTCATGTACCAGACAATTAGCAAACTGAAGGAAACAATTTTGTTTGATAAAAAGGTAGGAGAGATTAACTCTGTTATGTCTAAAACACTGTGCTGCTTGCTTCCTATATAGCCAAAAGAGCCCTGTTTCGGGTACATTGTCCATCAGGGTCGTGTGCAATGCCATTTGTTATTAAGTGATCTCTTTTCCGGGTACCCAGGTACCCGATGTTGACAAAAAACGGGTACCTGGTTCCAAAACTACCCGCAATGCACACCCCTACAAGCGAAGGCCCAAAATATTTTAATATTTCCCCTCACCTATGGCATTTTAAGTCATTCAAAAGATCTGATTTTACAAGGTTATCGAAGAAGAAGACACCATTGAAGAACCAGTCCTGTCTGTTTTCATCTTGAAATTTTCACCTGAAGGTTATCAACATTAGAGCTGCTAACTGTTCGCCACAGGAAGAGTTTAATACTATAGTCTTCTTGAATTTATGATGAATTACCGCACGTTGAAATGATTTTTGTGCATTCAAGAATAGCTGTATGATTGTATGAGTGCATGATTGTCGAAAAAGGACATTTAGGCCTGTGTGAACTGTTCTAATGGGTATAGCTATGTAGTGTAACAGAGTTACAACTATAAGATGGCTATATGAGTGCTACCACTACATTAACCCTAACCGCCAAGCATATTGTTTGGCTTACAGTACTCTGTGCTACAAAATACTAAGTAGTAGTCTGAGCCTGAAGGACCTAGCGCTAGAAATTACTACTTCCGGCTAGGTGACTTCCGTTTTTATTGTACAGAGAACAATAAAGCCATGCATTCATAGTGCCACACCACTGGATGGTATATTGTCTTTTCTATTGTATTTTTGGCTTCAGAGAGCAATACGGTCATGTCCTCTTACAAGCGGCAGCACTGATTACTGCATTTTACTACAAGTAGTAATATGTAGTATTATGTAAGGTTAGGGTTAAGATATGGTGTTTTACAAATCCCACTAGGATAAAGAATCCCTAGTCACTTGGAAAAAAAATGAGAATGGATGCAACACTAGCGACCATATTTAGGCAGTATTTGAAGCGTACAGTAAAGGGATCTGTCGTAATGCCGAGGACGGAAAAAATGAAAATCAATGCCACGTTGTGTAAGCATTTACGTGCATGATGGCTACTGCATGTACCGCCGTGCAATTACGCCACATCGCACGCATGTTGATGCAGCTGTGTTGACATTACAGGTCCGCTTGAAATGGCAACGGGGTTCACTAACTCGACATTCCAGCATTGTGAACAAAAGATAGATGGATATGGTAAAAAAAAAATACATGAGGTAAAATGTTCCTGTATGATGGGTACAATAAGGAGGTTGCAGCCTTCTGAAATCTGTTCACAAAATTGAATTTCCATACGTAGGCCCATACAACCGTGGAATTCTTTGCAAAGTGGTGGGGGCCTCCTCCACATTTTGGTGAATTCAGAAAGACTTCATCGAAAATCAGGGTAATTTTTTATGATCGTTCAGCCAACCATGACCATGTGTGAATAAATAACACATCATTGGAAAGAGGGAATCTGTGACTTTAAGGTGCTACTGGTCATTTTGGTGTAAAACTGACACGATTTCCACAAAATTCACAATAAATGTTGTTTCTTTTTTTGTTACGCTCTGCAGAAGTATTTGTATCAATGTATCTTTCTTTTCTTATCTTTCAGGATAAATAGGCAGTTTTCCTCACAGCTATAATACGGGTGATTTGAAGTGACTGTTTTCCAGCTCTGTGAAATTGTTTTCTGGAGAAACAAAGTCAACCATTTAACACCTTTGTCCTTCCAAATAAACACCATATATAACTGAATTTCAGGGAAAATGTTACGTGTTGCAAATGTACGAGACTTCCAATGTCAAGTCTTTGTCAGCATCGTGCAGAGTCATTACATTGTGAAAGTCTAGGCTTCTGAGCAATGATTTACCAGCCAGTTATCTGACTGAATTTCAGGGAAAATGTTACGTGTTGCGAACGTACGAGACTTCCAATGTCAAGTCTTTGTCAGCATAGTGCAGAGTCATTACATTGTGAAAGTCTAGACTTCTGAGCAATGATTTACCAGCCAGTTAGCTGACTGGTTTTCCGCTCTGATAAGTAAACTCAAGCCATAGGGATAGCCATTATCACAGACTCGTGTGCAAATTCAAGTTGCAGCCGAATAAATTGGACATGGGTCTTGGGATTTATCATACACGCCCATCTGTCTAATGGTCAGGCATATAAAAAAATTCAATTTTTGTTACATTTGGTTTCGATATTTTTGCTTTGGTGGTGTATACTGTGACTTTTTATTGGTGTCTTTTATCAACAGTTTTAATTCCCGAATTTAATTCATGTATTGTAACTGCAATTAAAAAAACACTCTTTTACTGTAAACCAAAGTGTTCAAGTCGTATATGTAGTATAAGTCAATGAAATGTGATCAGCAAGTTATTCATGATATGTACAAAAATGAACGCTGTGTATCTAGGCAAATTTTGAATTTTCCCTTTTCCTTTTATCTTTAAATGCGCTATTACTAGCAAGTAATTTTGAGGCATCTCGGGGTGTCGATTTCGCTAGTGGGAGAGTAGGCCTAATACTATTTACCGCCCACTTGCCCTTTGGTGATGCACAACCAATCGTGGAAATAAAGTCACATTTCAATGAAACGGTGTGAAACCACTGCTCAGTTTAAAAATGAATTAAGAAATAAATTTATTGGCATCAACAATGCAGCATTCGTCTTTATTATAAAGGGAAATAACTCGTCCTATTTTCCATGATGTCTTTGCTACCCGCTGTAATGATAAGCCTATGCTGACGTCAACATTCACTGTGGAACTCCTGTTGTGGAGGTGACAGGAAGTAGCCGATACGACACTTTATCATGAGCCAGGAGGGGAAAAAAATGAATATAATTTCTGTTAAAAACCTTTAAAAATGTAAAGAGCATTTGCTATTCATTTTTTGGGGGGAACATTTCTATCTCACCTGGCAGGTGGGGATACTTGTTTGTGATTAACTTGAAAAGTGATATTGAGTGCCAGCAGCAACTGAAACCAAATGGACTTTGGTCCTAGAGAATAGCTACGCAACGAACAACAGCAAAATTAACATGTGCGAATGCACCTCCAGATGAATTACAGTGCTTAATTTTTCCTGTTGGAGAAAGCCTCATGATTCTCCACCATTTTTCCTGTTCTTCACTGATCTCGATTTGACCAGAGATTGCAAACGTAAACAAGCTCGTGATTTTGTTTAGTCGTGCAAGTTTCTGAAGTTACCATTCTTTGATCATGTTTTCGATCTTTTCTATAGGTCTACCCTCAAATTACATTATCGTGTAATTTCCATACTACAATAGGATTGATGAAAGTATGTTGGGCAATGTTATTAAACGTAGATTTGAAAGAAATGACCACAGTTGTTTGCACTATTGATTTAGAGGGAAATGACCAGCTTTGAGAGAAGCTGAGCAAGAATTTGAGTGGTAAATATTTTGATCAAAACAAAATTTTGCAAGAATTAGGGCAAGCTTTGACTAATGTTTGGTTGAAACAAGAGAATACAGTATCATGAGGTTGTCTGCATGCATTACTTACGAACTATTGCAACAATTCACAATCATGATTAATATTTTTCTCTAAATATCCAAACCACAAGAACTGTCCATAGAAACAAAACGTGCATGCTTAAAATGGTCATCTAAACATCTAACGACGTGGGAATGATTTCAGTGCCTAAGGGCCATGCACACCGTGCTGACCCTTGATAAACACTACCTTTCAATACCACCTGTCAAGTTCTTTGAGTACTATTCGAGAATTCCTGCCAATTATCAAATCACTCGGCTCATTCTTCGACACTTTTAAATATCTGTTTTGTCAAAACATAATCTGTCGATAGATGACGAGTATTAAAGATTAAGAAACTGAAAGGTCTTCAAATCTCACGACCACGGCGTAAAAATTCTTAGCAGGGGTCGTCTCAGCGAAAGACAATTATAGCATGCGGTTCTCCTCAACTCTGCCGTGGCTACCGTGATGTGGATACAATCAGCTGTGCTACCCTTTCCTCGTCTGGCCTCGCCCATTATCTATGAGTTTAATTTGTGACCCCCCCTCATGTTCGTGCACTTCGGATTACGATGCGTCGTGATGTTACCATGTTTCATGAAGAAGATATTTACCGTGGTTCAAACTGAGCATGCTATATAGCAATATTAATGACAAACGCTATGGACAGTGTTTGAAATCGACATGTATTGCCTTATTATGTCAGCTCTGATCCTAAGGCTTTACTGTTGCACATGGTCAGAAACTGAAAGTACATTGTAATTTTCTAAAGAATTTTCCCCTCCCCCATGAAATCTGGATTCTCCTTAAAAAATTTGTCCATTATCCCAGAGTGTCATTGCTAAGGCACTGGCACGGCAAGTCTCTTTTGTCGTGTTCAATTTTCTCACCTAATGTAATTTCATTTTATCTTGTTTTATGTTTTGACATTTCAGCCTGTGCTATTTTTCATTAGCAGGTAATAATGTATTTCACGGCATGCTATCATTATCACAGTTTAGGAAACACTTTGCCGATCGCAATACAATATTGTTCGCAACACTATCAATATTAATATAAGTTCTCATGTTTATTACGTGTATTTTCTTTTTCTATTGCGGAAAGGCTTTGTTTTATACGAAGGGGTTCTCCAAGGCAGCTTGGTAAGTGTGCTTCTCATTAATTTGCTACGGTTGATGTCTTCTGGCAATGTGTTGATGTAGCAAAAAGAGCATGAGAAAGATAATTAGATTTTTCATGTATTTTATTCTTTTGTTTTCATTGTTGTTGATAAATACATGCAAAATGTATTGATTGGATAAGAGAAAGCATGAAATTATAAACTGCTTTTTTTCTACACATTTATGGGGTGGTGGTGGCTAGAAATAGACTCTGGGTTCCCTCATTCACAGCAATGAGCTTTCCAGTCATGAATTCTCTGCAGAGCACGTTAGACATGAAATTATGGCTAGCCCATAACCTCCTAGTTAATGTTTGTGTTGTGAAATATGATATCAGAATGGCAAAGCTATACAGCTCGGGCGGGGAAAAGATTCAATAGAAAAATTAACATAATTTGTCAAATGTTAGCACTGCGTTGGTTCTACGTATGTGTTGATAGAGACGTCCGCTTTGTTAACAAAGTGCTTATTTAATCACTGGGCATAAATTTCTTTTGTTCTTATCAGCTGTGGCGTACAATAAACTGAGCCTAACTGGAAATCGTGAGTACAGCACCCATAGATCATTAGTACAGAGTGGGGTTTATTGGAGAACAAATTAACCCGCTGTTATAGATGATCAAAGGAAATGACAGAAAGGAGGGGGGGACGACAAACAACAACACTAGCAGCAACAGAAACAACATCAATAGCAACAATGTCTTCCTAAAGCCATTTATTTATTTGATTGTATGTTTGGGTGTTTTTGCAAGATTTTGTCAGATTGTAAGAAAAAGATGACTGAAGGGACTTGTTTACCCACAAGTGTTATTATAAACAACAGAGACGACAGGAATTAATCTGTGATTCAAAATTTTCTGTCATGCTTTGTTTTCACTGTCAGATTCCCCAAATGAAGAGTTTATCTCTCTTTCAATTGAACAAGGCTGACTCATGTATAAAGTCTTTATCTAGCAAGTTCCTGCCATTAGTGGGGTTTTCCGAGTGCCACGGCCGGATATAGCCTAGTTTGGTGAGGTCCGACGCAAGGTGAGCCTTTTCAATAATGGGAAAGGTTGTTTATATTACGGCCTGGGTGATATTGCCTTATTGAAAATTTCACGTCAGGGTCATGTCATAATATTATAGAATACCACACCTGTCAGACAGCAAACAAACGGCCACTAATCATGACCAAAACCTGTGTGTGAAATGAAACAAACTGTTTGCCCGTGTGTAATTACGGGCAGTGGCACAATGACCGGCTACGCTGACTAATTAGATCAAATGCCAAATGAAGAAATACAGCGCCCAGCATGGAAAAAAAATGGAAAAAAATTTGCATCCTGATTCCACTTCAGCAGTTGTGTACAAAGTCTATTGGGAGTGAAGAGAATTTTCTAAGTAGGCCTATTTCCCAACAACATCAGTAAATGTTTCTCAGTCCAGAATTTGTGTCTTTCCTGCATTTCTGTAATGACTGATTTTTATTTAGATGATATATACGATGAGAAAAGTGGAGTCAGGGTGCAACATTTTCCCCCCAAAATTGCACTGCACCATACAGAAGTAGCACATAGTTACGTGGACCTTCAATTTGTTGTTCAAATTGAACGGGTCGTTGAAATTCACAAGACGTCATTCTTTCGGAGAAATTATGCAAAAATATGTCCAAGGCCTAGAGAACACTAATTCCATATCAGTGATGCCTCAGACACCAGATGGCATGCATTCACGAATTTCTGTTTATTACCAGCTCGACACAAATGTTGTATATTTTTATCAGACAAAAAAATGGATCCCTGGTCTTTTGCAATTAAGCTTTTGAATTTTTCTGTCTGGATCAATAGTTATCACCTATTATCCTTCAAACTACAGTCAAACCTGCTCAGAAAGACCACTTAAGGGAAATACAAAAAGTGGTCTTCATAGACCAGTGGTCTCTCCACACAGGTAGTGGTACATCTTCATAAAACCTGCCTTATTTAGTGACCGCTGTGTTCTTACTTCTGTCCCAAATAAAGTGATTCTGTGTCTGTTGTTACTTGTAGTTAGTTTCCTTTGATGCTTGATAGCATTCTAAACACAGACAGGCCTACTTCACTCAGTCAACACTTCTGGGTACTAACGGTTAACCACTGTTCTGCCTCCTTGTAATGAATATTTTTTTCATTTAGACGCGGAGAAAGGTTTTTGCTCAAGCTCTGATTCGCACTAATGTGAGTGGTCACTTACCGTAGAAACAATACAGCGGCTGTCGTTGATGATCCGGTGAACGGTCAAGTCTGCACAAAATCCGTGGGCCTACATCACGGGGCGAGGATTCTCCCAGGATTCTTCTTCGACAGTGGAGACTCGAAGTAAAAAAAGGGGAGAAAATTCAAACTTATCGATAACAGGGTGTTTACACGACTGACATTCTGCCAAAGCACAAAGGACTAAAGGGCTGGGTCGTGAGCCCGTTTCTGGCAACGACCACGAGTATCACTAGTCTTTTCTTCCACAGAAGAGCCAGATAACCATGACAATATTTGTTCCTTGACCACACGCTATTGCCACGCACAACACGTCTGGAACAGGCGAGTAAAACGAGTTCCCGCCTGTTTTTATTGCAGGCAAGACTCGGCGTGCGCGATATCGAGACGATAACATCTATAGCAACAGACGGTAAGATGAAGACACCAGCTTCGCAGGTAGCCGTTTCTCTTTTTCTTTCTCTCCTTTTAACGAGACCCGGCCGTGCCGTTCAGATCCACAGCGCAGGGAACCCGTGACATTATGCGCCTATGTCAATATCATTCTCGGCTGTTGCATGTGAATAACAGTTCAATTATTAACCCTACAAATTTTCTTTTTTTTACAGGCATCTGAAACTGAGCAAAGAATTAAAAAAGTTTACGACACACCATGATTAAGATATCAGAAAGGTTATGAAGTATCTCTTCCGAAATGGGCCTACCCTCTGCAGAGATAAACTCCGGTACATCGGATCACGCTTTATATCTAAAACTATTTATTTCCTTCATTTCGTTTGACAAATTATGGTTATAGATGAATGACGGTCCTTAGCCTATCCCAGCTTCTACCCGGCGGTTTCCTCTGAGATGTAAATGAGGGCAAAGGATACGTCGTTGACACCAGTTTGGACTTCTCTGTGGTTGTAACCTATATACACAGTCATGTTTATTGTACACACGAAACACATTTTTAAAATAACAGACGAGTACTATTAATTTAAGGGAATGTGTTGGCCGTTCTGAAACATGCGGCTAAGGAGAAGACGCGGCTGCGAGTGGGGCATTATCGCCGTTTACGCTCCTAAGCAAGGTCTTAAACGTTATACCGTACATGCATCTTAAGACCGACCACTCGCATAATTATTTCCATGCATAAATACAACCAGCGGCGTGCCGGGGGGGCACCCCCCGTGAAAAAATCGTCGCCCCCTTGTATGTTATTTTAGCGTGAAGCCTCCCGCTCCCCCACCCGAATCCTGGCTACGCCGCTGAATACAATTTTAGACAGTCAAAAGAAGCCAATATGTGATGGATTCCAACGATTTTGTTCTAGAATGTTATTGTCATTTTCCGAACAAGCCCGTCTACTTGTTGTCCAATAGAATTTTCTTATATGGATTTAGCGCGCGTAGCGAGCCGCGTGCACACAGACTATTGACCAATCAGAATCGATTAAGCTGTCTTGTATCCAGATGCCCGCGCGTGATTTACGCGGCGGGCTTTCATCACTTCTCAGCGGGTACTGTCAAATGTTAACGCACAACGGGGGAGGGGCACGCCCTAATCGGACGTCTATGACACAAGTTGTTTACCAGCTTTCAGTGCACGCTTAAATGTGTGTCCCCACATAGCCTCAGGTTTCACACAAGCTACTTAACGACCTTTCCTCGTTACAACCGCGACTACACGAGTCCCATCCATGTACATGTATGTTGTGATTGATACTGGCACATTCGCTTTGCCATGCATCGGTGGACCCTTTCAGAATTAACCGTTTAAAACAGCAACGACCAACAGGAAATCACACTTCTAGAAATGATCTGTATTTTTATTGCAAAATAAAAATTTATTCGCTTAAAGGCAATCGTGTCACAAACACGATTATAGCAAAAAGTTCCCCAAAACAAAATGTAGGAAAGCCGTTTGAATACAACTAAATTAAATCTGTTGCTGACAATACAAAGTTAACCAACTTGTAGATAAAAAGACGTCTTTGCACTTCTAATAAGCAACGCTAATATGCAAACAAAAGGCTGTATATTCTAATTTGATTTTCAACCTGCCGTACTCAGACAAGCACTACGGAGCGACACCGTTTAAGTCCATGTGATTGGACTGAAATAATGACGCCAGACACATCACGCCTTTCGACGAATCACATAAGAAAAGGAGAATGTAATTCGAATGAAAGGAAACGTTCAGCCAAGTACACAACTGTAGTCATCGTAATAGTCGTTTTTACGGTTGGCGCATTATCAGTTTGTCACAACACCAGTGCGAATTATCTCATTTAGTCTGCAATGAAATTTGAAAACAAAATGAGCTACAAAACGAAAGAAACTCAACAGTGAAATAACCTTTGCTCAAATTTTGCCATAACGAAATTTTGCTACAAATCATTTAAATCAAGCCTACCTCCTTCGAACATAAACTGAAACAAATGAGATCCTAGGTGCAAACTTCTGCTAATCTACGCACTTTCAATGAATGAACACTACGTCTCGAAAGAAAAATCAAAACCAATTTGCTTAATTATTAATAAAGTCTTTCGAGATGTAATTTTCCACTGCAAAATAGTACGCGTTGGTGGAAAACACGGTAACTGGTTACTTATAATTTCATGCCAATGTGTGGAGCCCTTTTCAGTCAGAAGTACGCATCTCTACACGCAATGGAATTCCTCGACAATCATTTCGATGAAAGACAATTTCAGCGACACCCACGACCTAACTGGTTCCTCACGGTAGCAGCGGTATCCGCAAACAGGTGAGGAATTTCACCACAGTGTGGCCGAACTTTGAACAGACGAGAAGAGGTTCACCGCCAACAAAACAGAATGAAATGTTCAACGGAATCCAATGCGTGTCATTACAGAGTAACTTCTGAATACCAAATTTTGACAACTATTGTGCTTTATGTTTTTTTAAATTACAGATGGAAACTTGATTTAATAATTACTAAAATTAATACATGGATTATACGGTGATTTAACCCATCCGTCGCAATGTCCAAGTTGTGCACGATTCACCCGAACCCTTGAAGGCATGTTTCATATTAACCAGTTGGGGTGACCTGCTGTAAATCGTCCACTACGGAGGGCCTTTTAGATCAACCTTGTTCAACTGGTAAACATTAACAAACCCAGATAGTCGATCACCAATCGTATTTGTCTGCACTACACATCTCCCAAGTGCATTCAAGAGTTGGAACGTTTTTAGTACACTATACAATTGATTTCTTTACATACTATTCGATACGAAAGAAAGACTTAAACAAGTTTAAATGCCACAACTACACTTTGCCATTTACCTCGTGCTTACTTTAATCAAAGGAAAGGAAGCATTTAATATTTATTTCAATAACGCGGGTGACATCCAACATTAGTTTGCGATTGCTTACTGCACAATACCGTTAATGTGTAATTGCATCGTGGGGCGACAAGACATTTTATCCACAGACTGATCCCCATAAGTCCTCGACAAAATGCGTCATCCCAAGAATGCGCCACTGCGCTGCTGTTGGCGATTTTGGAATGGATGGTCCCCAACATCCACGCAAAACCACAAACAGGTTTTGTTTCAAGTTAAATGCGGGCACCGAACACTTCCCCATAATATCCAGTACCTGCATGTAAAATGAAATCTAGATAGTGCCGTAAATAAGCAGCACAGAACTGGAAAAAAGTGGGTTTTTTTAATGACGGGAAAATGTGCTGAATCGAGTGATGTATGATCAACGAATTGACAGCAAGACAACTGGTCCCCAGAAGTTACCTCGCTGTCAGTACCAAGCAAAAAAACGTGCTGTTATCAAACACAAGAAACTGGTCCCCGTTCGTGTTTCTTGCATTCTCAAACAGTACAATTAAATGCTTCAGCATTTCACAAAGGGTATCCTAATTATTTTGAGAAATGAAACCTTGTCCCCGAAGGCTTCGATTTCTCAGAATAAAAAGAATACACATTGTTGTTTTCAAGAAAGCAGCTCATACGTCTCGATTTCAGAGCTCAATTGTCTACACTACATGTAAGGTACAACTGTTTTTCACTTCTTCCTACTGGACAATACCGCTACAAGATTACTACAATGATTTTATTGTTTAACCCTTTCTTTACATGAAATTTCAAAGCAATAAAGGCTATGCTGTCTCTTACGACCATGTCCACTCAAAAATATATAAAAAAGATCCCACACACCAGTAATTTTTTTAAATGGCATTTGCTGAACTTCTTGGCCAAAAATAATCCTGTCGTTTGACGACACTTCACCACTGTTAAAAAAAAACGTAACAACCTATGTCTACATGAAAATTAAGTAATGTACTATCCTGGTCTCATGCACTACTGCAAAGACCAAATTTCTACTGTAAATGGAAAAACTCCACTATCTCTTCGAGTGGATACTTTGGTGAAACCTCATAATTGTGGGTTTTCCAAATTCACCACAGACTTGACACTTCATCACATCAATGTATAATGTGACTTTTGTAAAGTTTTTAAGATGCCATTTTCTTGTCATTGGTTCGTCCTAGGTTGGTACATCTTGACACAATCGACGGTTGCGTTGTCAAAGTAGGGATGTCTGGGGGTATAATAAACCCACGTGTTTAAAACTCGAATTGAGTTACTTCAGTCTGACACCTCAACAAAATCTTGTCACAATCCAAGACTACATCATGTAGTCTTTCAACATAACACAACTAACTCATATCTAGTAAGTAACTGACTTCGTCTCACCTACAGATATAAAAATATGATCAAGTATAGAAAAAAGTAATCACAATAAATCGCTCCCTTCCGATATATACAGATATGACAGCGAAATAATATTTTCTACCCAGGATTTGATCAACACAATTCTAAGACTATCATTCAGCAGTTAAGATACTCAAATATTGGGTTATTTATTTCATCAAGCCACTCCTACAGGAAGACAGAACTTTAAATGTGACAAATGCCCCAGAGCAGATCAATTTCTATCACTTTAATGAAAGAGGAAGTTTATTTATAATGTAAGGTCATTACAAGGTCACTAAAAGGTCACAGGGGTCACCATGACAAATGTTTCCCTTCAGAAAACTTTTCATGGTGATTTCTGTAGCAATGCCTGATATCATGAAGGAGAATTAAGTTCACTGGAAATTAACTACACCAATCCCCTCACACAGACTTTCATAAAGTGCCTTTGAAATGACACAGGATCAAATTACAAGGAAAACATTAACTTTTTGTTTACTAAAGCGTGAAATATGTTTTACTGAGAAGTATGGTCTAACATGAAAACACACTGGAGAGCTTTCTTATCGGAATTTTTTTTTTTAGTGAAATATCAAATTCTAGTCCCTTTCATTATTTTTATGCATGCTCTGAGGCAGCTGTCTCAATCTGGTGTCAGAAGTGGGATGGGACCTCTAACGCCAGACTCCGCTCTTGGGCTTGGGCGATGTCTTGGTCGAGGAGGAGGTTGTTGTGGTCTTCTTTGCGGGCATGCTCAACCTTGAGTAGACCGACTGGGAGGAGGCGGGGCGGCTGACGGTGCGCTCCTCCTCGCGGACGGTCCGCACTGTGACTTCCCCTCGCACACCGCCTGCGCTTCCAATGGGCCTCGTCTGCACGTCCACTGTGGAGTACTGGCCCACCACATCAGCAGAGGTCGAGAAGCTTGCTGAGGTAGGGCGGCCCATACCCATGCCTAATATGACACAGAAAACAACAAATCATGAACAAGTAAGTTATCAATGATAAGTTAATAAAACCACAGCTGGAGAGATACACTCACAGTTAGCATCTATTCATGTACATGTTCCTGAGGGAGGGGTTATGGCAACTAAGGAAACCCGTATTACTAAATGTGCACAGTTCTGTCATGACTTAGTACATTTCATGCTTATCAGATATTTCTGTGAGTTTTGATGTGAGGGAATTAAAAAAACCCAACAACCAGACTTGCTCATTCAAAACAAGGGATCTTCACGTCACACTTAACATGCAAGGTCTGCGCCAAATTTGGCACTGCAAAAACACCACGCCCAACCTTCTGGATAAACCACTCTCAAATCCCATGAATGAATCATTCAGAAATCTCATGAACAAAAATGAGGGCAATCTCAATGATAACTGGGGACATGTTAACATGTCTTGACGGGCATCTCAAGGCATGTCTTTCAAAGATGTTGTATATACGTGTAGATATTTTCCAAGGCATGCAAACTGGGACAAGCTCAAATGAGTCAGTCTACAATTAGTACTGCAGATACGGGTAATGAAATGCAGGTTATTTGTGTGAAAAATCCTGCGTGCAACATGGGTGATGTCGTTTCTCGTCAATTTCTACGACCGTGGTTTATTGCCCGTCATCAAACAGAAACTAATGCTATTTAGAGAAGAAAAAAAAAAGAGACAGAGAGACTGCCAATGCGTACGTATTTCTGAACATGTCCCCGATGCCAGTAGCAACTGTTTACACAAAGATCCCTAGAGTATTCAAATACACATCTCGGCCTATTTACGTTCTAAGGATTGCCAGGGGGGGGGGATGGAGAGCGGGAGTCCTTGATGCATTTGTTTGCCCTTCCATCAGTGCAGCCACGTTTTCCATGCGGGAAGTGTGTTGGGCAAACCGAGCGGTCTAGGGATCTCATCTCGTGCTCCTATGGATGTGAAAAACTAGCTTTGGCAAACAACACTTCAGAGATATCACCCACCAAGAAGTACAAATGAACCTCAGTTAGGACAGGATGGAATAGGCACATTTAGTGTTTGATCAGGGCTCCTTCCAATTCCGGTCGTGTCTAATGGTTTGGTCATCTACTAACACATAACAGATGCTCTATTGTTTACTGCAAAAAAGGCATTCCAGAATTCAAAATTTCACTCTGAATTTACTGAAGTAGTGAGTCGTCAGTTTTGCAGCACTTGCTGGACAATACCTTCCTACTTCTTTCACAAGAAATGTGAGTGAATTGAATGCAAGTGAAAAAACAATCTCAGTGTATAAAATTTCACCTGTCCAGCAGAAAAAAAAAGCCCTCTTCACAATCATTGCCACATCTTGCATGTAGTTCCAGTATTCAATTTGATTTGTTCTAGCTACCCTTCACTGTGACAGATCTAAGAATCCATGGCCATGCTCTGCTGAATGACAATCGCAACCACTTCATCCCATTTGCCTCACAGATTTAATTGCGCCTTCACAGAAGTTGCATCACACAATTTATCCCCAGAAATGAAATGCTAATGCGGCAGCAGGCAATGTAACCACGACGTCCTTCAGCAGGACGTATAACCCGTATGGAAATTTTAAAAGGGTGAAAAACCCACAGCAAATTATTTCTATAGTTTATTGTGATGGAAGTACAAACATGCACTGAAATCATCTTAAAATTTCCCTTGAAACAAAATGTGATTTCAGTCACATTTTGTTTGATAACAGTTTTGCAGAGTATGACAAAAAAGAAAAAAGAAAGAAAGAAAAAAAAAGCAGCTACAAGGATGTTGCCTGAATGCCAGCGTTTTGTAGACATTTCACTTTAGGCATCAAGGGTGCATCAGTTTAAACTCTTGTAAACTACGTCTCACAGGTTTATGTCAAAGCGTCTACATCTAAAATCCAACCAATAACCCACTTAAACAAAACATATACAAATTTTATTTGCTAGCATAGTGCACACTTGAACACAAGAAATACATCTTGAAGAAACTTCTACGTCACCCCGACAGCCTAAGACCGAACTGGTGGGGGAAGATATTGAGTGAGGGCAACGTGCCTGTGCAGCATACACCACCGTGCATAATGCACGTATCTCTTGTTGTCGGTCCTCTCGTTTGGGACAACTTTATTGTGTTTGCTCTGTGTCCTGTCAAAATTAATTTCATTTTGATGCGATTTAATCAAATTTAAATTCCTGGCGGACTGCGCCGGATAGCAAGCTGGCTTCCTGGACCTCGATGCAAATTAAATTACCCAGCCAACAAGGGGAACTGTGTGGCTATATGGTAGATTTAAAAAAAAAGAGGGGGTACAAAGACTCCTTTGTATAGATTTCCTCTGTCTTACAAGAAAGTTGAAAAATCTCATTTCACTAAGATACAAATAAAATGAGAACAAACCAGGCAGTTTTTAGCTGGTGAATAAAAAAAATCTTAACTTAAAACTGTCCCATTTGAAAGGTTTAATCCTTAATTGAAAATGTGACAGCAACACACATTTTCTTGTTTCAAACAATTTTTTTCCAACTGATGTTCGGACGATTTTTCACTGCGCACAAGTTGTTTGCAATGGCTGTGTAACTTGAAATGAATAATCCCTCGAAAGACACGGCATATCTAGAAACAGCAGAAATTGAGTAAAAAAAGCCACTTCTCTCCGCATGCAATTATCCTTGCTGCCTGACGACAGCAGTGCAACAATGCCAAACGGAGCAATGCATCATCACGGAACAGATGGGACTGAGAGGTTGGCTACCATGGCAACAGAGTGTAGGAGATTAAAGCAAGGCTGAGATGCATCTATTCTGATAGGTGGTAAAGCTTCGGGGGGGGGGGGATTGCAGATGCCTTTTTACAAGTCAATTTTTAGTGCGTGTTGAGACACTGCTTAACAGGATAAAAGCATCGAGGGTACTCAGACACCTTGAAAAGAATCTATTGTTGGAAAATTGTCCCCAAATTGATGTGAGGGTTTGCTTTTCTCAGGGTGATCCGTCCAAGGACTTGATCTGCATACTAATTTCACTTAAAGTGAAAGAAGCTTTATAAATGACACAAAATGAAAATAAAATATGCGTCTTTCAGTGTCTAAAGGGCAGCACATTCTTTGATGCATCTCGAAAATCAATATAAAGTCTTGACTTGCCGATGCATTCAAGTAAATCAATTCAAAGTGAGAAAAAGAATGTTCAACTCATCCAGGAGCAAAATCTACTACAAAGACAGTCATACAAAATGCTATGACTAACATAAAATCGATGACTACAACATATTATTTCTTTCACCAGTAATTAAACAAACCACTGAAAAAAGATGCTCAAATAAGCAGGACACACAAACAAAGATCTTGTTAATGTCTTAACAGCAAATGGAGGGAATTAGTGGGAGATTTAAGAGGAAATTGGGAATTTGATGGAAAGGGGTGCATAATGCAAATGGGACAATACAAACAGGACCTGGACAAACACAACGTTTTCGAGGTCAATTGCAAACTTGAAACAAAAAAAGGGGGAAATGTAGCCATGTACATACTTTGCAATACATCCTAGCGACGCATTCCACCCCTTTTGAAGGCTTTGTGGGACGAAACTGAACAACCAAATAATGTGCGTTAATGACAGGGACATTTATAGCTTTAGTGGCAGTTAATTCAGACAAGGTTAAAAAGGAAAGAACAGCATTAAAGGGGTATAGAAAGCACATGTTTTAGTGGCGCTCGGAGGGGAATTTCAAGGCACTCTGGTCTTTCGCTCAATTCTTACGCAAAACTCAGGCCAATGAAAGGTTTAGGTTAAAATCAACTTCTTTCTTTCCGTAAATGAGGAAATCGATCAAGACCAGAGTGCCCCTTTAAATGCAGAAGCAAAGATAGACCCTTCACCCTGAGTATCTGTGCGCGTGACTGTGTGTATTAAACAGAGTCCCAGCGTACTGACGCTTCTTCCTTTAAAGGCGAAAGCGGATCTAGACATCAAGGACAGGGAAGAGGTTCAAATGGAGAAAGACAGAGATATAGACATATTTACCATGTGGTACCACAGAGAGAGAGAAAAAAAAATGGGGAAAGATGGACAAGAAATTGAAAGGGTTGTGTTGAGTGTATATGTCATAGAAATTAAAATTACTCAGAAAAGAAAATAGGACAAAATTGTTATATCAATATAATGATATTAATATCCACTGTGATAATAGTACAGTACTGCACTCTGTGTTTGGCATGGTAAGTTATTAAGAGATCTGTGATAGCATTGAAATACAGATATTTAATAGTGCTAAAAAGAGTCAGTTTATGAAGCAGTATTAATAGGCAGCAAGATTTCAACCCTTTCTCTCGGTGTAATTCTTGGCTGTGCGGCATATGAGACAAACGTAGGCACTGTTCGCAGACAATTTGGCGTGGCAAAGGAGGAGATCCTTTGCCAATGAAATGCAATAACTGGAGGCACCTTTTGTCCAAAAATTCAAGGTCAAACTTCATTCCCAATTCTTCAGTACTGCTCAAGACACAGTGTAGGTTTGGGACATGGACGTTAAAAAAGAGTTCACCATTATGGAAATCGAGAGCACCAAAGATGGCTGCTGGGTGATGAGGGGGCCAGCATTTATTGGGAAAAAAAAAAAAAAAGCATGTGAAAATGACAAAGTGGTTCGAGGGAGATGTCAGTTCATTCTACAGTCCTACTCACCGGGTGTGGAGTAGGTCTCCCTGCTTGTTGTCTTCCTGACGGTCGAGTCGCCGTTCCTGGCGCTGGCCGTGCTGGAGTAGGTCGAAGTGCGCGCCGAGGTCCGTGTTGTGCTTCGGGTAGTGCTAGTAGTTGTCCCCTCCTGCCAAGGGCGGGTCACCCTGCGTTTTTCTTTGATCTGGGAGGAGGAATTATTTTAAAAAGGCATTTTAGTCAAGCTTTGAAATTTATGTGAACGGCATTTGAGAGAAACATCATTTCACTAACGGTGTATTTTTCAAGTAATTAACTTAGAAATGTATAACACCAAAAACAGAGTCAATCTGCCGAAATATACAAGAAAAGTGGGCTTGACATTTCAATCCTTAGCAGAATCTTCCCCAGAGGCAAAGAATCCCTTGGAATTAATTCTTTCAAGACCTTTGCTTGCATGAATAGTTTTCTACACGCTGCACAAATCAGTTATTAATAGAGAAGAGTACACATACAAGATCATTTGTGCACAGGGGTATTCTTTCACCTTGTTATTGTGCCAAACCACTAGTCAAAACAAAAAAAAAAAAAAAACAAAAAAAATGAGAAGGTAATCGCAAGTTATCGCCAATGTGACAATGCAACACTGCTGTACTAAGCACCTCAGGGACTAACCCAAAATACAAGCTAGTGTATAATTGGTCACATGGGAATGTTCACTGTAGCCAAGATGACATAACCGACTTTGTTAGGGCACTTTTCTGAGTTGTGACAAACCATGGGGATTTGATTTTTTTTTGGTTTCATCTTCTCTCCCTGGCCTTACCTTGATGAGGGGTCCGCTCAGGCTACGAGAGCCTGCGCTGCCAGTACTGGACTCAGACGGGGAGCGGGAACGCCGGCTGCGACTGGACTGGAACGGCGTCAGGGACTGGCTGACGCCCTCGGCCAGGATGAACTGCTCGCGCAGCTCCACGTTGGTGCGTCCCTTGGCTGGAAATCAAAACGGACAAAAAAAATTTAGAATTGACAGTGTGTGAATCATTCACGTTTATTCAACGGTAATAAACTTTAAGAGGAAAAGAGAGCACTTTTTTGATGAAATTTAAAATAAACTGAGCAAATTTCAACAAACTAGATCTTTTCTGTTTATTTCCAAAGTAAAAAACCTCATCCCAATCGATACATATCAAGAATTTACTTTCATCTGTAAGATTTACACTGGCAATGTAACAATTGAGAGGCTAATAGACCGACAAGTGCTGGTATCCGTAAGCTGTGATGAGCAGGTTTGAGAAACCAAAACAAATTACTGAACATTGAGCACCTAAAGCAAAACAGTCTGCTGTACACCCAAGCATCACAAGAAGATTGAGACCTTTTGGGAGGGAAGCTGTGGTGGGGTAAGAGCTATTGGAGGGGACATCGACAATTTAAATGGCTCATTCTCAGGAATTTTGAAACATTTCACCATTTTTCCAAAGTTTGAGAAAAACCTTTGGTTGATTTCTGAAACCTCTCCGAAAAAAAACCAGTAGCTAAGCCATATCTGGGAACACGTGTTGAGAGGGCGAAATAAGGCTTGAAATCCCGCACACCTCAGCAGTCTTATGTCAAAAAAGTCCTTTTCGCAAAGCGGTTAGAGGGAGGTGAATCTCAGAAAGATGCAATGAAAAACTTCCTGTTCAAGTCCCTATATTCCCCAGCATGCATACTGACTTATTGGAACCATGCTTACCAGGTTTGCCCTTATCCGGACCAAAGCTTATTACAAGTTCTTTGTGAAGAAATGTTACCAGGGGACAAGAAGAACGTTGTTAACGAAACATTGTGAGATGTCATACTGTTAAATGTAATGGCAACTCCCACGTGAAATGGTCACATGATAAACAACTCCTACATGAAATGTCATGTTAATGTAAGGGCAACTTACAAGTGAAATGATCACATGGTAACACGGTCACGAGGCACACAAATGAATGAAAATGGCGCTTGAATTTGCATGCAAAGCCGAAGTTGAAACCAGCCTTGAGCGTCAAACATTGCACCGGACTACGATGGTAACCAACATTTTCTGTGCTCGCCAAATTTGGAGGCTTAGCAGCTGAATGAGAAATGGAACTTTTTTCTCTCTCTTTAAAAAGGTTGTTCAAAAAAATTTGATATGTAACAAGTAGTGACGGGTGCCACAAAATGAGTCCTAAGGTCATCTTTTCCAGCTGTCACATTTTACTTTGCTTTTAAAAGGGCAAACTGAGCCTGTGTTTTGATGTATCACTCAGTTTGGTGTCCTGGTGAGAACGGACGTTATGAGGGTGAAAAATGTAGACAGTTCCATTTAATTTAAGAAAGTTCTTTTAAAGGCCTTTAACTCAACAGTGACTTTAGCAAGTTGTGGCTTATTTTGTTACGTTGCACCACAAATTGAAATTCAGAAATTCAACTGGAAATCGACCAGTGCTTAACATAGTTAACCAGTAACACTGTGTAGTACTCCTCAATATTATGACAGAATGACTGGACTTGACAAGAGGGATTTCAAGATGCAAGGCCAGGAGAGTTTCTCTCACCTCTGCAGGGATCGTTCTTGACCAGGAACTCGTCCAGCGCCAGCCAGCCGCCGCCCACACGCACCATGACGGTGCTGCGCAGGATTCGCACCAGCCGCATCTGCTGCGAGTCCCCAAAGCGGTACTTGGTCTCGGCGATGCGCTGCACACGGAACTTCTTGGCGCAGGTGCACAAGTTGCACTGTCGCTTCACCTGTTGAGGTTTTTCAGGAGACACTCAACATTAGATGATTTGTTAACGTGACGTGATGTTTCAGTATAAGACAAACACGTGGCACCGGCATGGCCAAGAAGCGTTAGGGGCCTAATATTTTCAAACTAAGGCTAGACTTGGGCGGTGATTCATTAACGTGTCCAAATTTGGAGTCATGGAGGGGGGAGACAAAATAGGAAATTGTCCTGAAATAACTGTCCTTTTTTCCCAACTCTAAAAAAACTCCTGCCAAAGGAAGGTGCTGGCTCCATTTCTAAAGTGCTGTCTCTTTCAAATCCTAGTAGCCAAAAAAAGATTGCCCCTTTCCCACCCCCCCCCAAAAAAAATTACCCCCTTTCTGCCCCATCCACTGGACACACCACACAGATGATTGACAGGCTTGAGATGCTTCACTGCCCCTTTATTCCTCACTAGTGAACATTTACATAGAAACAAAAACCAACAATTTTTCCGCTCGGAATTAAACATCATCCAAATGTGCATACGCATCTAGTTTTCCACCACTTGACGGATTCTGTCATCTCTGTGTCCATGAAAGCACTGACTGGGTTAACTTGCCTCATCTTCGATCTTCTGGGCGTCGGTCAGCGGGTGAGATGTGCTTTGGCCGCTTTCCTTCTCAGGCCAGAGGGCCGCGATGAACTCCTTGTAGTCCACATAGCCGTCGCCGTCCCGGTCAAAGATGTCGGCCACAGCATTCATCTCCAGCTGGTTGGTTGGGAATTCTGTTTACAAGAGTTATAGCATTGCGCCTGTTACTTGGTTTCAATGGACCACGGGGAACACGAAAAACTATTTTTTGCAAAAGCTTCATATTTTAAGTAGCCAACGCAATAAGAATCATATGTCAAGTTCGAAATGGCTTGATGGAGATGTACTCTATTTAATGGTGATGCGCATGACAAGATCACATTCATCAGACTCGGACATTTCTCAGATATTTCCCTTTTTTCAATTTTTTTGCAATTAGCTTCCAAGTTAAAGTTCCTGCATTGGACAACCAAGGTTTATTGGGCTGCTGTATATTAACCAACAGAAGAAAACAAATTACTGTGCTTCAAGGATGCAAACAGCTTACTGGAGTTGATGATTCCATCAGAGAACTCCTTGCGTGACAGCTTGCCGTCACGGTCCAGATCCAGCTTTCGGAAGAAGTCCATGACGCGGGCCTTCTTGTGGCTCATCCAGCGCAGGTAGCGCTGCCGCCAGTCCTCAAAGTTGAAGTTTTTCAGCTTCTTCAGCTGTGTGGGGAAATGGAAAAAAGTAGCACGCAGGTTCCAAAATATGTTGGACTGACAGTAACAAAACCGAGACAATGATGCAAACTTCGAAATGACCATGTAATGTAATCGGAGGATAAGAGCCTTGGTTACAAACAATTTTTACATCCTTTCAAATTTTAAGATTACTGAAAATCCGAGCCATGTTGTGAGATCCAGACAACTGGAGTTCAACAATCCTCCTACAGGCCAACCAATTGGTTACAGGAAGTGAGTAGATTACTGACGACTCACCTCGGCTTGTCGATCGAGGGCATCCTGTAGGCGGCGCCGGCGGTCCATGGCCATCAGCCACACCTGCTTCCACTTGTTGTGCAGCGCGGCCACGCGGGGGTTGCGGGCGGCGTCGGGCCCGGGGCTAGCCTCCCGGCTCATGGGCCGGCTGCCCTTGCCGCGGCGTGAGCGGTCCAGCATGGGGATGCCTGCGGGGCCCACGTCGGCCGATCGCCGGCGCTTGTGCGACTTGGTCAGGCGGTCCACCTCGGGTTGCCGGGTGGCCATGTCATCCTCGAAGGACTGGAGGGGGGATAAGATGGAAAATGTGCTCAATACACAGGCTAGCACATGTTACAGCATGAACTATAAATGATCATTACGAAATCCTCCTTTGGACTGAACAAAAACTCTGCAGATGAATTTATGTCTTCCCATGCATGCCATGTTTTGAGAACAATCAGACATGGGACAGCCGAGATCTGGGAAGGGAGTGGTTCTTTTTAGGGTTAGGTAAATCCTAAAAGGAGATCGCTTGATGACAAACGAAGTAAAGTTTCCAGAAAAAAAGTGCCCACGAAGGTAGAGGTAAATTTTTGAAGGAGGGAAGATGCACTTGTAATTTCAGTCACTGCGGCTTCACCTGGTGTTCCTCCAGGAGCTTGTTGATGCTGTCGATGTCGTCCGGTATGGGGCGGGAGTCCCTGCTCTGCAGGGTGTTCTCCGACTGCTCCAGCCACTTCAGGAGCTTCTCCAGCAGCTCTGCGTTCTCCCGCAGGTTGGTCAGGGCATCCTCCAGCTTGTCCTGTCTCTCCTGGTACCAGTTCATCACCTGTGGACGGAGGAGAGGAACAGTGAAGTTTGTGCCTGGGGGCCGAATTTGAGAGTGGAGGACGCTGGCAAGAACATAGACAATAGGGAGCTGGCTCTACCTTGTTCAGACAAGCAAGCTTTGCACAGATAGGTGCAAACCAGGTGGGTTCATTTGGGATGCAGTGGCCGGATGAATTTCTTTTATGAGTTGGACTGACTTCTATCAGGATGGCAGCACACTGATTCTGGTAGGAGGGAAGACCGCCCTCGGTGGTTCATTGGCACAGTGCCAATATCCCAGCCACAGGGGCACGTGTAATCACTGCATAGCTGCTTTTGAAATACAACCCCACCTGCAATTTCTGGATGGGTATTTTTTATCCAGCTTTGACTGATCTCTTCCCATCTGGAGTGTAGTACAGTGATTTTGATAAAGACAAAGTGTGCCCTCGGTAGTGCAAGCACAGACTCAATACCATAGCAAAAGGGCAATGTATAATCACAGTTATATTTTTTGTGAATCTGCTTTCATTGGTAAGCCGTTTTTCAATGTCACTTGGACTGACCTCTTCCCATCTGGCTTGCAGCACTGTGATCCAGTGCTTGATGACGGTGACGGCGTCCGGGTGGCACTTGGTCAGGATGACTTCGCCCAACTGGCAGGCCTCGTTCAACCGGCTCTCGTGGGTGTCAATTCTCAGCTTGAAGTCCTGTATGACAGAGCACCATTCCGGAATTTAATGTCTCGTTTTGGGTCATAATTTTCCAGCTGTATGCCTTCCTCCTTGAAGGTGACGGCTTTTCAGATTTTAAAATCATTGATACTGAACTCTGTCACTCAGGGTTATTCAAGAGCAGTATTGTAGATTAATGAACTCCTTTAACACTGTTTAGTCCAGGGAACTTGACAAACCTTGCTGGACCTAACAAACTTTTCTGAGCTTAATTCTTGAAATAAGACTGTACTACATATGACATGAGACTTTGTCTTTTACTTAGGATCAATACAGCGAACCCCCCTCCCCCAAAAAAGCATCCAGTAAACATCATTCTGTTGAGAAGTACAGTCCACCCAGTCTACAAAAACCACAATCGACAAACTGACGACACTCATAACCAGTCAGGACTGTGGGAAAACATTTTAAGTCACCAGTCAATCTCAGACTGATTGGATCTGGCTAGGACTGAGGGGGTAATTACCCTGTGGGCCTCCAGCAGGTCTTGGATAACCTCCTTGTCTTCACTCAGTGGTCCCTGGAATCGTAGGGTCTGCTCAGCGTCAGCTAGCCACTCCAGCAGCATGTGCACAGCCTCGTGGAACTCCTCAGCCTGCAGGAAAAAAGTTACCCAGTTCACTGCACTTTATCTACAATTTCACAGGAAAGCTAATATTTCAAAGCTGTCAATCACTTCAAAAATGTTTGCACCTGCTTGGTGATTACATTATGCGAAATCATGCAACTTGAAAGTTCACTCTTTATGTGAGCATGTTGGTATCGAGTGATGACTCGTCCAGCAATGTACTCCTGCTTGTCGTTAGCAACACAAATCATCCCTTGATTATCAGATGGGCGAGTTGTCCCGTTACCACGTTGACTGCCGCTCATGATTTCAAAGGGGCATTCCCATTTGCCCAGCGTTATGCTCATGGGCGCATATTTAAAAGGTGCCTTTAGGTGTCTATTTGAACATGAGCATCTTATGGATATATGCCCTGACCACTGCCAGCAGCATATTTGTTATGTTCTTCGGTGATGCCAGTGTATTACATTACAATAGCCTTTCATTCCCTACGAGTACACTCTCAGTCGGCAGTCAACGTGTTAACCCCTGTTCAAATTACTCCACAACAGCAGGTAAAAAAGCACAAGACTATGTGAAACAACTTCGGTGGCCAGCTAGTGACTTCCATAGGATCACATGTTATTTCCAGTCACAGCTAAGTGATTATAATCTTAATGTCAACTAAAAAGAGTATTTTGGATGTTGAAAGTTTTTACACTTTGTCAAAATATTCCCCCCCCCCGAAAAGGATATGGCACACGATGTAACCTCCCCATGAATCATGTTCGCTTTCAAGATCAGCCAATCGGGTCATAGCAAGTCTCGGCAAGTCTAGCTCCCCACCTCCTTCATGGCATCCTCCAGGCGGTCCTGTTTGACCACGCTCAGCTGGCAGACATTGTCCCACTTGGTGTTGAGCTCCTGCACCTTGGCCTTCAGGTGTGAGGTGTCCTCGCTCGACTTCTCCATCAGGTCCTTGGCCGACTTGTTGACTGAGCGCACGCTGCTCTTGCGGCCACCCAGGTCACGTTGGAAACTCTGTGAATGGTGGAAACAGGTGCGGCGTCACTTACAATCACGAAGAGAAAAAGTGGCTGGACAGAACATACCTTGAAGATGGTCCCCGTTATTTGTTTCAGCATGAGACATTTGCAGAGTCGGTAAAAAGGCCAACCTTAATTTCATTTAATACTTAACAAAAAGTTCAGTTAGCATTGTGCAGAGAAGTTGCAAAATCAATTTATGAATTTGAGTCTGAGCTAATTTCTTTGCTGGCTAAAAGAGCAGAGTGACAATTAAGCTAATCCACTAGAAAAATACAAGCAAGTAAACCTAGTCCCAAAGCTCAGCTTGGCTGACGTTTTTCCCATCAAATGCTAGCTTTCTAGCATTGACAGATCAAACGTTGCGCCCGCTGTGCCCGGTACGTGTGTAGAGCGCCCTCAACAAGCCCCGCACAGAACGGATGACACAAACCCCACTCAGTACAGACTGTTTCATCGTTGATTACCTTGTGGGCCTCCATGAGGTTCATGACGGTGTCGATGTCGCCGTGGACCGGGTTGCTCTCGTCCAGCTTGGGCTCCACCTCGTACAGCCAGTCCAGCAGGGCCTGCAGGGCATCCTTGAACTGGCCGCTGTGCAGCAAGGATTCCTCCAGCTTGCGTTGCCTGCGGAGGGAAGAATCACAGCCAGACATATTCATGAACTCTTCTCTTCTTCCTTGTTGCTTTGCTTTAGATTTCAGTTTAGACTGGAACGTGCTTTCTGTTCTGTTAATTACATCAGACCATTAGCTATATACATCCACTTAGTGTGGACTCGAGAAAGGTGCTAATTTGGTTCCAAATTTGGTGGCACAGCTGAAATTTGAAACTAGTTACTCCCCCGGACAAGGTACTCCAACATTACTACTTTTTTGAGCAACCTATTTTAATATGTGAGATCTCATTTTTCATTTCTCATAGTTGTTCTCAATGAAATCAGTGAATTGCGGAGGAGTTTTCAGCATTAGACGTTGCCGCATTCGATTAGCCTTATTAGGAAATTATGCAAATGGCAGATCAGAATAGTTTGAACTATTTAGCTTGTCGACTTTAGAGATAAATTTCCATGCATGTGCACAACATCCCCTGAAAGCCAAGTCAATACATGACAAGCCAAAAAAGAAAAATTGGCAACAGAAACTGTACATTCTAAGCATACCTGATATCTTCCAGTATTATTTTTTTACAGTTCCATGTTTTGACCCGTTTTAAACCAGCCTGTACTGCAGTGTAGGGTAACCTGATAAAGTTGTACAATTCCCTAGCCTTTTCTCACATTCATAGCATGTAAATCCTGATGCCTCCTCAATTCTATCACTTCAACCCTTTTTCTGTTCAACTGTGGGCCAACACGCTGTGTCTTTCCCTCACCTGTCCACCGACTTGCCACAGACTGTGTCCCACTTGTCCTTGAGGTCGGTCAGCATGGTGTTGATGACCTTGGTGTCCGCTGGGTTACTCTTCTCCCGGAGAGAGCGGCCGCCGCGCAGGGTGCTGTCGTAGGTCGGCTGCTTGGAGCCCAGGGAGCGTTGCAGCTCCTGTAAGGAAATTTAGGCAATTAGTTGTCATGAAATAACACAATTTTGTGTTTCCATAAACCTTCTTACTGTTTGTACAACATCAGCGGGTCAAAAATTTCGTCCAATTTCCCTGTTCAACGCATGAGCATATCACACTTGATATTTTGCCAGATGTGTTGATTTCTGTTTCAGAGTTGGCGGTGTGCACAATTCAACTAACCTTGTGTTTTCTAAGCTGGGCTTTAAGTGTCTCTGGGTCGCTGCCAATCGACTTGTCCGAGTCCAGTTTGTTCTCAATGTCATCCAGCCAGTCAAACATCTTCTTGTACTGGTCAGCAAACTGTGAAAAAAAAGCCCATTTACCTCACTTATGCTGATCACTTCCATTTCAACTGATATATTTTGACAGAATTAAAACTGTGATTGCAAGAATTGTTAATTCAGAATTTATTTTTGCATACAGAGATCGGGAAGGGTTACAGGAAAGTATAAAAAGGAATTTACTTAATACAACTAGTACATTCTTTTCCAAAACCAAAACGAACAAATTTTGAGCATGTGAACGTTATTCTATGAAACTCTACAAAAACTGAACAATCATCTGGTAACATCTTCCAGAAAAGCCACGCATCGATATCTTACTGAAGGCAACTTTTTTACACCATAAAAGAATCGTGTAAAGCCACAAGTGGACTGAAGCAAAACCCGACTGACCTGCTTGGAGCGTTTGAAGGCCGAGTCCAGCTGCCGGCTACGCTCGTTGCAGCGGTTCTGCACGCGGTCCCAGCGGTTCTGCACGCTGATCAGCAGGTTCTTAATCAGGGTGACGTCCTGCTTCTGGCTGAAGTACTTGAGCTGGGTGCCGGTGCGGTCCAGCTCCTTCATGGTGTCGCGCTTGGTGGCGATGTCGCGCAGGAAGTCCTGTTGAAGGGCGGTGATAGGGGAGTGGGAGGCGAGAGCAATGAAAAACAGCCACGTCAAAATTTCTGTTTCCTGCTCTGGGTGGATTTCTGGAGGAGTCTTGTGAATACAGGCTCTCATCAGACCAATGCCATGATGATGCTCCAATGTTGGAGGGAAAGTCGGACCATCTAAAGCCCTTCACCTTATCTCACAGTACTGATGTGGACTGGGTTGTTTATGCACTTCACATGAAAATTCCTGTTGTATATTCTGACTCGTACTTTAGTGTGGTCTGTGCTATGCTAGTTGCAAAAACTACTCTGAGCAAGGTTCTACTAGCAAGGAATAATGATTTTGAAGTTGAACTGTTTTTAAGAAAATGGACATTTTTTTATAAATCCTAGTTAAAGGAATATGTGAAACCAATTCCTCTTTTCTGACTTGAGTACAATTGGTGATTTATGGACACAATTAAAGGTAGAGTAATACAAGGGCTGTTTAAAAGGCAGTCGGGGAGCCACACCAAGATGGCTTTTATACGAACAACTCACCTTGTGCTCTGCGATCTGTTGGTTGACAGTTTCCAGCACGGTGCTGGGGGGCTTGGCAGCATTCATGGTCTTCTCGGCCGAGGTCAGCCAGCTGATGAATGACTGCAGGGCATCATGGAACTGCTGGGCCTGCTTCAGGGCGTCCTCCAGCTTGGTCTATGGGAAAACAAACAAAAAAAAACACCAACGGAATTCAGAGCAAACTTCACAAGTAGATATTGTGATCAACTGATCTCCTTTCCCAAGTGGTAGTAGGTTATTCACTGGGCATCATTTGGAATTTCAACTATGACAGTAAGGAGCGACTGATTGAAGGTGCACTAGAGTTCAGTCAAGTCAAGTCACCTGTCTGTCCTTGGCCTTCTGCTTGGCATTCTCCCAGTTGTTCTGCAGCTGGGAGAGTGTGTGGCCAATGCCACCCTCGCGGTCGGCCTCGGGGCCGGCCTTGCTGCGGAGACGGCGGCCGGTGTCCATCAGGCGGTCGTAGTTCAACTGCTCCCGGGCCATCTGCTTCATCAGGTCCTGAGGAACAAAACAAGGATCACTTGTTGAATCTGATGAAGTGTCTTAAAGTTGAAAGGGGAGAAGAGTTGACATGCCTCCACAGGGAGCAAAGACTAATCTCATGAAATTCAATTATGACGAAAGGGTTGTGGTCAAGTCCATTTCAAGTCCATCACAAGTCATCCCGTTTTGAGCCAAGTCGCCTGCTAACCAAATGTACTGCAACAAACGCACTTCTTTAACGATGTTCACCTTGTTTTTTTTGTGAAAGAATTTGTGACTTCATTTGTAATGGACCCAACAACATACCTGTAAGAAATTCTTTGATTTTTGGTAATAAACAAACAAGATCCAACTTATTCTGAAAGCAATGCTTAGACATAGTCTCGAACCTCCTACATTACACTAGAAAATAAGATGGCTTACGTTATGTTTTTCCAGCTGTTCTCTGGCGGTCTCTGGCAGGCCGCCTACTGGCTGGGCCGATGAAAGTTGGCCGTCCAGATCCTTCAGGTAGTGAAGGAGACGGTTGGCTTCATCTCCAAACAATTTACTCTGCGATAAACCATGGCCAAGAAAAGTTTGTGAGTGCCCCGCATAAGGAAAGGTGCTTTCAGCCGAGGAAAAATCTGATCACACCTGACAATCTTGCAAGTCCCTAGAGTAACTTCCGAGTTAACGCCTTCAAAAGAATCTGGTTCAGTAGTAAAAATCAGTGGACCCTCTCACATTGCCTACAATTCACGTGGGCGGCCAAAGTTTGCAGAAATATCATCCTAGCTTGAAGTCCGATTCAACTTCAAAATTTATATTTGTCTCATCATCAAAGACTTGTACGATTTATGCACCATTAGTAACAGTATACATTATGTGGTGTTTTGATAGCCGAGTGAGATTTTTTTAACGCTCTGAATGATTCTTTTGCTTTTGTACTGTGGATCAACCACAGTTTTGCCACGAGGTAAAAATACGATGGTGACATAAAAAGGGCACACCCTATAGGGCCGTCAATATGTTTGACATGCGGAATGCCAATTGTCATCAGGATGCCAAACAAAGAAATACACCAATTTAGAAAGCAAAGAACACAATTTACTCTTCCTGAAGCAAACTAAATTTTACTGGGAGAAAAAAAAAAAATGGTTTCAAGAGTGGTGAGGGACCGGTTCCTAGGAAAGCAGAGTCACAGGCCTCACCTCGCCCAGGCTTCCCTCCAGCTCTTGCTGCCGGTCCTCGCTCTTCTTCAGCAGGTTGCGCCACTTGACGTTCAGGTCGTCCAGCTTGTTCTTGATCACGCCGGCCACCTGGCGGTTGTCGGCCGAGGCCACAAAGTTGCGGCCGGCCTGGTTGACCGAGTCCACGCTGGACTGGTGGGACATGATGTCATTTTGGAGAACCTGGAAAGAAGCACAACCACAGAATGCATTCTTTGTTGAGCAGCAGCTCGTTTGGTTCTCAGTCCGGCTTTCAGTAGTTTGTGTGGACCAGTTTGAAAACTTCTACAAGCTTTGTTATTGAACCACATTGCCAAATTTTATCCCGTTTTCCGTGAAATGTTGCTTGGTAAGAAAAATGTTCAGTGTTGCTTCAACCATGGCTGAGAGGAGCACATCTAGTCCAGTACGCACTGCTAAAGTTATGACAATGTTATATTCTGCTGTAACCTGTGCAAATGCCCACGATAAAGACCACATTGTGCAACATTTGGATGCCATCATGCTCTGAACAGCATGGAAGCAAACAGGAAAGAATTTGGACAAAAAATACAAAAGTTTCAGTCTGCCCTCTTCTGAAATCACAATAAAAAAAAATGATAAATTTTTAAATGATAAATGATAAATTTTTACGAATACAGACTTTCACATGTTTTTTTTGCACAAAGTCCACACATCACAGTTCAGATCTCCACTGAGAAAATTTTGCAACTACTGTGGCAAACGGAGTTAAGAATCTGAATCAGCATACCTTGTGCTTGGCCAGCTCGATCTCAGCTTGTCTCGGGTCGCCCATGACGGGCTTCTGGTCCTGCATGGCCCGGTCGGCCCGGTCCATCCAGCCCATCAGCTCATCCAATGTGGAATCCAGCTGGCCCAGGGCCAGCAGCCCGGCCTCCAGCTTGTGCTGGCGGTCGAAGCTGCGCTCTGTCAAGGCCTTCCAGCGCCGGTTCAGGTCACTGAGCGGGCCTTGCAGTGCCTCGCGGTTCTCAAAGGTGCACTGGGCGAGGAGTTTGTTACCCAGCTGGTTGACACGCTCCAGGTTGGGGCTCTGACGGTCCTGGTCTTGCTTGAATTTCTAGAAAGAAAAAAAAAACAATCCACAATTTGTTTTCTTCAGTTTAACCTCAACTAATTCCATCTGTTTTTGAGAAGTATTTGTTGAGGAGCCTCGTTAAAGGCAAGTCATGGGAATCTAGAATTTTTATTGGACTCTTCACCTTGAGGTCTTCCAGCTGGGTCTTGATGGTCTGCGGGTCCGTGCCCACTGCCTGCATGGCCTCAAGCCGGCCCTCTGCCTCCGTAATGTAGTCGTCCATCTTGCGCTTGCCATCCTCAAAGGCCTTGGACAGGTCTGTGGCGGCCCGCAGGCTCTCGTCCCGGCTGCGGTAGGCAGCGTTCAGGGTGTCCCAGTTGGCGTTCATGTCATCCAGGTTCTTCTGGACCTCGGGCTTGTCAGCGTCGCCGCAGAGCCGCATCAGCTCCTTGCCCGACTGCCGGGTGTTCTCTAGGTCCTGGTTGACAGCGTCGATGTCCTCCTTGATGGCCTGCAAGGACAAGTTTCTCAAAGTTAACACTGGTTCATACTCGGTGCAAAAGCACAAATTAATGTGAAATGGTGATGATGGATCAAATAGTCATGCTGTGCATTTACAAAAGTAGAAATTTCAATTCAAACTCTTCTATTATTTGTTGCTGTAAATTTAAACGAAACAATATTGTAAGTAAGTCACTTCCCTGTCAGTCAACACTGCACATTATCACCTTAACTTTCAATTACTAAAAGTGTGGAATCAACATTTCCTGAAAGCTGGCTGGAGACAAAGTGCTTACCTGCAGGACCTCCTGCTGGTCCTTCACAGCCTTCTCCTCCACAGCGGGTGGCTCCTGGCTGCTGATGTGGTCCTGGATGTCCTTCAGGGTGGCGTTGGTGCTGTTCAGCTCCACCCAGAAGCCCTCGGCGGCATTGAGTGCCTCCATCAGGTTGCTTGCCCGCTGGTTGGCCGTCCGGACAATGGTCTCCCACTTGTTGCCCAGCTGGTCTAGCTTGTTGTGCATCTCTGTGTAAGAGAATGGTAGAGGTTTTTGGAGTCAATTCGGCCAGGAGAATCCACTCCATGGCAAAAGGAGACTTTGTCTTACTTCTGTTGCTTCACCATTCTACAACTGGCCCTGTAAATGCCAGCAGGGATTGTGAACTTTGTTTTTTTTTTATTGCATGACCCAAGATTCCCCTGGTGTGGGACCAGTTTCACAGTCAAGACCTCTTAAGACTATCATAAGACCCCTCAAGTCCATCACAAGACCCCTCAAGACTATCACAAGACCAGTCTGAATTCAAACTACAATGAACTACACTGAAAACAGTCCTCTGTTACTGTTCACCATTACCAGTAACTGGTCTTATTGCTGTCTTGTGTCTGGTCTTGTGATGGTCTCGACTACAACACTGTATAAGACATTCTCAATCATGCCCAAGACAACAACAGCAATCCTATGATAAAGTAAAACAAACTCTACCATGAGCCAGTCACAGTTCAACACCATCAATCTACATTCTACTGCAGTCTGCAGAGTCACTCTAGTTCCTTTACTAATCAGATGATCAACCTGTGACATGTGACCTTCTCTCACCTCTGACATAGGGGTCGTCTGCTGAGGCCGCACTGATCATATCCTGGCCGGCTTTGCGCATGTGGTCCACTGCATCCATCTGACTCTCCACCTGGTCTTGAAGCAGCTGCATTTCAAAAATTAGACGTGTTCTCCAATAACTCTCAACACACCGTTTTTTGATACCAATTTTTACTTGAATTTCAGTAAGACATTGTCTCTATTTTTATGCCTTTTGAATGTTCATTCTACTGGAAGGGCACTATTTCTGGGCTTTGTCTTTTGAAACTGTTTGACAAATGAACAAAAATGTCATTTCCTCAATTTGTCAATCTCAATTAAGTCAGATGGACTTCGGGCTATGTCTTGTGACAAGCCTCAACCGCACTATTCAGAATGTTGATCTTATTTTTTTCAACAGTGGCCCAAGCATACAATGGAAGAATTGCTCTTGACTACAGTTGAGAATTTCCTGAGTAAGAATGGGCTTCTAACCTGCAGCTTCTTGCGTTGCTTGCGGAGCACCTCGGGGTCCGAGGAGATGGACTCAGGCTGGGACAGCTTCTCCGCTGTGATGTTCAGCTGCTCCAAGGTACCGTCCAGATCCTCGATGAACTGCGGCAGAACGATTGCATTCATGGTGGAAATCAAACAGCTATAATGTGATCTTCTTTGAAACCATTGAACAATGCAGGGAAACTAACTAGATGTTTACATAATAATCACGATGGTTGACGACGCTGGAAGACAAGAGGTTGAGGCTCTTTGAGAAAAATATATGCTGGAGTATATCTTCCAGGAAAGTTTCTAGAATGCAGACAAGTTAACTTCAAGCAATCAGGCTTTGTATTACAACCTTTGAGAGTAACATTTTGAGGTGAATTTTACACCAGAAATTGATCATGCAAACTGTCCTGTAAACTGTTTAGTATTTTTGAATCAGATATCAGTGTTAAGGGAAGGCAAACGACAGCTGTGGTTTTGTTAGCCCATTGCAAAGGAGTTAATGTCCTGTTAAACCCATATTCAATGCCCAAATTTGTTTCTATTGACGTCCTGATTTTGCTTGTAAAATTTCTGTCCTGTTATGATTTGCAACCCCCCTTGTCCTACTGGCAAACAATGAAGTGCACTCACAGAGCTTGTCCGTTGCAGGAGGTCAAAGAGCTTCTCGCCTCTCTTGTCCACGTCTTGTTTGATGTCATCGTAGCGGCGGTTGTCACTGTCCACCTTGGTGTCCAGCGACCGGGCACCAGGCCCGGGGCTGATCTTGCTCAGCTCGGGGGCGATCCGGTTCAGCTTGTTGACGTACTGTTGCTTCTCGTTGACTGCCTGGCTCATCAGCTGATAACACCAAAAAAAAAATGACAATAGTGATACAAACAGAACGTCAATCAGTGGGTGATTTCCAAACAGGCGCACGATACGAATGTTAGTGAAATATCAACATATTAGCTTTAGACTTACTAAAGAAGTTTTTTAATAGTATTATTTCTTTTACATTTGTGAACGACTGTACACAACATCAGTCAATAATATCAAGGCTTGCCAGTGTTCTGTAAAATCTTCCTTCTTGTTGACAGGCTGAAATTTAAACAGGCAAAGTATACTGGCCTTCACGTCATCTTGATATGCAGCTCTTTTACACCTCTAAAAAGCTCAGTGAGTCTTGTGCGAGTAATTGAACATGCGTGACTTAACCTTAACCCTACAGGTAGCTTTTGCAAGAAACTCTGCTGGATGCATGAACTTGCGTCATTCGCCAAAGTAACTTGCCCAAAGATGGCAACAAGATCCAACAGGTCGACAATCCCTAAAGCCATACAACTTCAAAGTCTATAGTTACCAGTATCAAAAGGATCCAACAGTGGCATTGTTCAGTGGGACTAACTCCCATTGCCTCACTGTGGACAGTTTATCTGGCTGCTGTTGATTGCTCGATGCAAGAAAGTGCATCAGAATTTTGCATCCGTTTTACTTTTAAATATGGTGTCTGGCAAGAGTTTTAACGGGGGAATTATTTGGGAGTGGTATCAAGCACATGGTTTGAACTCTCCTTACCCTGTTCTTGTCTACTTCCTTCTTGATCTCCTCGGCATCCAGTCCCGGTGGCCGTAAGGCCTTCAGCTCAGCCTCTGTGTCAGTCAGCCAGCTGGCCAACTCGTTGTGGGTCTCATCAAAGGCCAGGGCCAGGGGCAGGGCCTCCTCCAGGACCTCCACACGGTCGGCGCTGGCCGCCGACAGAGTGTCGTACTTCTGCTTGAGCTGCTTCAGCCGGTCGTCCAGCCGGCGGCGTTGGGTGGGGTCCGAGGTCTGCTGGAGGAGGATCTCGGCGGCGCCGCTCACGTCCTGCACTCGGCTCATCTTGGAGTTGATCTCGCGGTCCAAGCCCTGCAAAGAAAAATAAAAAGTCAGTGACTTGATTGATAAAAGCTCAAATATGAGGTCGAGTGAAGATGCCACATGGCACGACATACAGAATTAGCTGGAAGTGTTCAAACATCCTCTGCAATTCGACATAGGGAATCCCTTCATATTTAGGCATCATTTAACACGGAGTGATTAAATCTACAAAACTCTTACATTTTGAAATTCTATTCAGTGGAATCTCAATTTTCACCCTTGTGAGAGCAAACCGAATAACAGGAGCACAACTGAAGAATCCAACTCCACAAGCTATCAGCTCACCTTGGCTTTCTTGAGCTGTTCCCTGACACCGTCTGGATCCACTCCCACTGTCTCCTTGGCATTGTTGTTGAGGGTCCTCTCCGCCTCGTTGATCCACGTTAGCAGGTTGTCCATGTTCTGCTCCACCTGTGAACAAGTAGCCACATTTCCATTAGAAATGGTTGGTGGTAGGTTCACAGGTTTTATAAAGATGAATGGCTTCTGTACTACACCTGGGGTACCAACGACTGAGAAGTGGCGCGGCAACAGCGGGGATAGCTTTAGTTGAGAGACAACTTAAACAGTATTTCAGAGGCTGCACCGTTAAAGTCCTGCTCAAATTAGGTTTCTCCGTTCTGTCTGATTTTTCCCCCTTATCCAACCTCTTTCCTCTCATGCCCTCACAGAAACCACTGTGAAACAATTGGCCCCCAAACAGCAGCAGAGCACCAACCACTTTGGCTGCTTCCAGGAGCAACAAATTCATCTGTCAGGATTATCCCTAACACTCCTCAATCCTTCACCTGTTGGAGGACTGAGGAGTGTTAGGGTTAAGTATTAAAAAAGGACACTTGAGAGAGGGTGCAAGTTTTCAACGCTGGTTTACAGTCTTTACATCTTTAACGAAGCAGTTCATAAAAACGATACAAAGTGTCTCTAGTGGCTGTTCCCATGTCATGGCTTTGCTTACAGCAAGCGAAAAAGCGAAAACTGCACTTCCTGAATGAATACAACATAATCAGAGTCTTGTAACGCAATTGCGACACAATTGATACCAGTGAGGAAAATCCAACTTCAGGTGTCATGATAGGCGGGCAGCGTTTTTTTTCCCCCAAATTACGCAACTGGGTGAAAGTTTGGTAGACAACAGTGGAGGGCGTACCTTCTGTGCCCCCTCCAGCTTGGAGATGAGCCTGTACTCTATGTCCTTGGTCTGGGCACACAGCTCGTTGAAGCGGGTGTTGGCTTCGCTGCACTGCTGGCGGATCTCGGCCGCGCCCTGGCCGGGGCTGATGACAATCAGTTTGTCCCCATTGCTGTTCAGGGATTCAATGGCCAGGCGGTGCTCGTCGATCTCGCGTTGCAGTTTCTATTAGAAGAGAGCATACAGTCAAGGGTAAGATTACTCCAAAACGGATCAAACACTCCGGTCAGGAAAGACGTACTGTCAACTCGTCACTGACTGGATTTTCAGGAAGTACCTGTTGCTATTTTGGCAATAGAAATCCCTGCCAAGAACTCCTATGAGAGAGAGCTGCGAGACAGCTGCTTTAGTTGCCAGAATCCAAGTTTCTTTTTTCAGTTAAGAACTTTTCCAAATCTATTAACAGAACATATTCATTGAACTCAAGGCACACCGTGAGGGACAAATGGGAACACCATATTCCTTGTACAACAGGACATCCCTAACCCCATTGGGTTGTCTCTAAGCAGACAGCTGAGTACGACAATATCCAACACAGCTGGCATGGAAGTCCTACCTGAATGCAACAAACTGCGACAAATTGCAACAGTGGGTCATGTGGCCGTGAGCAAAGCACTGGATAAGCACAAGACTGGTCACCGTCAAGTTACACAGTGTACTTGGACACCTATGTTGAGAGCTAGATGCAGAATGAATTTTTGATCACCACTGCATCCTTTTGCAGAGCAAGGAGTGCAGCAACCAGACTCAACAGCATGGTATCTCACAGAACTAAGCAAGACCAAGGGGGGTTACCGAACACCACGAGGGGATGTAAGGTTGCAATATCTAATTTTTTTTCGTATACCTCTTGTACGGCCTTCTGCTGCTCGGGGCTAGCTGACGAGTCAAAGCCGCGCAGTTCTCTCTCGGCCTGGGTCAGCCACTTGTCTGTGTCGCTCTGGAGTCGGGTGAACTCCTGCGTCAGGGGCACTGCCTGCTGCAGCTGGTTCAGGTGGTCCTCACTCTTGCCACAGATGTCCTCGTAGCGGTTCTGGATGGAGTCCAGCTTCTGCTGGACGTCGATGATCTCTTTGCCTGGGTCACAGGTGATTCAGGAAAATGATCAGCTTGAGCAGGTTGAATAAATAATTTTTTTTCTTAAATGGTTTTTACAATTTAATTCAGTTAAAAAAACGGCATGCTCTAGGTTTCAGATACATCTAATTATGCGGAACAGGTCACTTGAACAACGATTGCCTTTGATTATTTTTAGTTTTCTTCCCAAACACTTGTGCCTTTCATTTGGTTCCTGGCTTTATCCAATTCTAAGTTCCCTCCTCATATTGGTCATGAAGTCTGTCCCATTCTGAAGAACAACTTTGTGATAGGAACAAGTTCAAAACCATTAAAATCCAACAACCGATTATTCATTCTGCACAAAGTTTGAAAAAAACGGGATCCCTATTTGGAACTTTAAGGGTTGAAATTTGCTCCAATGTCATTGGTGCATTACTCTTTGAATACATTCCATTTTGCTTCCAATACCTGTGCACTGCTTCAGTAGGTCTTGGCCATCTCGTAGTACTTTGTTGATGTCAGGTCGACGACCTTGTATGTTCTCATGCAGTTGCTGTAATGAAAATGGAATTGATCTCTGAATTACACATGCATTAGGTGACAAAAGTATTCCAATGCTTTCTCAAAGCAGACGAGCGTACAAGATAAGATTTTTTTCTTTCAACTGGAAACTGACAGGAATTAAATCAAACATTTGAAATGGATAAGTGTCACATGTTTTGAGTGGAGTTATTCTTGGTCATATGGGAGTAGAAAGGTGATTAAAAAAAAGGAAAAATGTGATAAAAACTCTGTTAATTAATACCATATATTCAGATGATGTTACTTTACTCAACCTGTTAGACAGTTCAAACGATTACGACTGCAAACGAGTTAATTACAGACATAACATGCACACAGTCCGTGCTGTACTCTGCAATACAGTGCCAATGTCAGCCCTTTATGTTTCTTCGTTCTTTAAAATATACTTGTTTATCACCAACGGATGACGAACAGCTCCAGAAATATTTTGAAATTTTGCCCCACGATCTTCAAGAACTGCATGCGCTTTATCCAACTCCAAAGCATTCCATGCAGACATTCATGTTATGGCTAACCATGAAGACAGAGGTTGACATATCATGGGTAATTAATAACTTATAAAAGGGCCAACTCAGACAGGAATTGAGTGAACTTGGTGGTACCAAAGCTGCAAAGTGGTTAATGCCGCAATGTCTTCAACATTCACACAATCAGACACCAAGCACTTTTTCCACAGTGCCACAAATCTTCATATGTCTGATTTATGGCAAAAAAATTTTTTTTCACCCGATGCATACTTCTTTAAAACTAGATGGTTATCAAGCTTTGACATCAATTAAAACTTGTAGTTGACCCCTGAACAAATGAAACAATGGTTAGTTAAACCAGGTTACGTATGGTCAAAAATTACCACAGACTGGATATTAAATGGAATAATGGAGATGGAAAATGAGATTATATGTATTTAAACCAAGCTGTACTAAGCTCAAGAAACATGGCCTGGGGTGGAACATTAATGATTTGATACAAGTTTACAAACTGGAACATATTTAAGGTAAGCTGAAGACATTTAAACTGAGCTAAACCAATTAGTGCATAATCCAACTTCAAGAATCCCAGCCTGACCGATGGGGATGGACTGGATTAATAAGATGAATATGAATTACACCACTTTCATAAATAATCCAAGTTGAAATCTTGTAACTTGACCAGAAGGGATGAGCCGGACTGATGAATGTAATAGAAGAGGTTTGTATAATCCGAACAGCACAGCAGCTCAAACCATGGTGATTGACAGGGTGGAAAAGATGAGTTAAACCGGTCCTCTTGTCCTCCAGGTTGAAGAATTACAACCCACTCAGAGGAGGTGAAGATGAGCTTTTGATCCCAATCATGCAAGCCTCTCAAGTGGAGCAGACAGGACCCCACCTCTTTATCCAAGGACACCAAGGATTTTTCAATTGTCAATGGTGACAATTTATGTTTCTCTTAATGCATGAAAAATGATTGAAATCTACAAAGCAGAATGACTTCAGAAATATAGTTGAATAGAATTATCAATTGTGCCCAGATGAAGTACAGGCCATGCTAAATACCTCTAGGAAAAAGAAAAGTGTGCACAAAAAAGAAGTTCTTCAGAAAGGCAAGGAGGACACAAAGTGATAACAAACTTAAACATTTGTGCTCAGAACTGTGTTACACTGTGAAAACTGTGTTAAATCCACAGCCTATATTTCAGTACAAATTGCACAGAGAGAAATTTCTGAGTGAAAATTTGGGGGGAAAGAGAGAGAAGGGACGGAGGGTAAAACTTTCAGGAGTAACTGCAAAAGCACCCGCCACCTTCACCGGTTCACTGCCCTGCCGTGGAATCCACAGTTGAGATGGTTACCGGCATACGTGTACCTCCAGGTAGACGAACACATACTATAAAGAAGGCACCAATGGATTCAACAAAAATAACATGAGATGCCAGCAAGACCTCCACCGTCACTGGTACCCTAAATCGAGGGATACAAGTACCAAGGTCCTGCAACCAGTTTTGTGAAATAGGAAAAGTAGCCAGTAAAAGAGAGCCAAATCCATAAACTGAGGTTGCTTGCTTGAAAACAGTACATGTGTAGTGTTCATCTTGGTCTCGTAAATGTAAAGTAGGGTGGGTTTGACAGGTTATAAACAGCCAAAAATTGTCCTTGGCCCATTTTGAGCCAAGTCCAACATGTTCATTCCGGGTTGAAACCACAAAAACATGGGGGGAAAAAACCTCAGAAAGTTTTTCTGTGATGCACATGGTATGAATTGATGACAGTCACTACAAATGAACATTTCTCAAAGGCCAGGCGGCATGGAACCTGCAGGGGACTGGGAGGGAACTGATAAAAATGCCGTTTTTCAGTCAGTCACCTGCAACTTCAATTTGAAGAGTTTGAGCAAAGGGGAACTGTAACCATTCAAACTCTAGTAAGGAAGAACACACCAGGTGTAGTTAGCAAATGGGTTAAACGAGAGAGGGAAAAATACCAAAAAAGAGAAAAAAAATTTATTTAGCCAACACCAGTCACTGACAATCAAATGGGTCCACGGAATGAGAGAAGGAACCACAAAAACCAGAACCGCAACCGACGTGTATGTGTGTGGGTGAGCGGGTGAGGGCGTACTGTACCCTGTGCTCCTTCAGCTGTCGCTGGGTCTGCTCCGGGTAGATGGAGATGGGCTCCAGCTTGGCCAGCCTCCGCTCCGTGTCTGTCAGCCAGCGCAGCAGGGAGGCCTCCCCTTCCCCAAACACCTCATTGCTGGCCAGCGCCCGCGACAGCTTGCCCTGCTTGCTGGCCGTCTTGTCAGCCAGGGCCTGGTACCGGCTCTCCAGGTTGTCCAGCCGGGTGCGCACCACCTCCTGCTCCACTGGCACGCAGAGGTCATGCAGCTCCTCCCCTTTGCGTTTGGCCTTCTCCACGGCTGGTGCCTTGTGCTTGACCTCATCAGCTAGAGCCTTTTTTATTTTCGGTTTGCATGAGGATTCAAGGACATGGCATTCTTTTCATCAGAATATGCTTATGTACACAATTGTTCAATATAATCTTAAGACCAATATGTTAGTCTCCTTCAAGGCTGCTGAAAAATTTGATTAAAGCAACAAAATTTCTGGGCTTCAGTCGAAGCAACTCAACAGGCCTATCCAGTTGACCCATCAAAGAAAAGGTAAATTATAGGAGGATGAATTGGTTTAAAGTAGGGTGGTCGGAACTGAAGGGAAATAGGTATATGGGATTCTGGGACAGGATGTAACTACTGGGTTGGGTGAAAAGATAGATAAGAGTTGGGTGTGTGTGTGTGGGGGGGTATGTGGCTGGGGTACAAGATGGTGAAGGTCCATCTGGGGTTGATATGGCGGAAGGCCAGAGTGGGTGTAGATTGGGCTGAAGTATGGGTGGAATGTGAAATGGTAGGGTACATCTGGAACAAGGTTGGGTGAGGATAGGGGTAGGGTAGGTTGTAGGAGTGGGTGGAATAAAGTACAAAGGTATTCAATTAAGTGAGATTTATTGCACTTTCTCCAATGGGCTTCTGCTGAATACAGCCAATCATAAAACAAGGTGATTCAATTGGGTAACACCAACAATACGGTCATCCTCCAAACAATTGAAGGTGTCTGTTTCCCTTTAATAGCCCAAGCAAATTCCCTGTGACTTAAAAGTCCTCGGTCATCTCTCTCTCACCTGCTGTTCCTGTATCTGGCGCTGTATCTGAGCCTTCTCCGTGCTGACCGGGTCCTGCTGGGCCAGGCTGCGCTCTGTCTTGTCCAGCCACTCCACCAGCGGGTCGATCTGCTCATGGAAGCCCTTGGCCGTCTTCTCCGTCTGCTCCAGCTTCTTGCGGCGGTCCCGCACTGAGTCCACCAGCGCCCGCCAGCGCCGTTCCAGGTCAGTCAGCTGCTGCTGGATGCGCATGCGGTCCTGGGGCTCCGACACCCGAGACAGCTGCTCGCCCATCTCCTTCAGGGCCTCCACGCTGGGCTCACGGTCGGTGATCAGGCGGTCAAGCAGCTGTTGAGGTGGACAAAATGGCATTAAATCTTTAACCAGTACAATCTAAAATGTTGGCCAGGTCTGTGGGAAATTATACCCACACCTGAAAATCCAGTGCTGCTCCATGTGGTGGGAGTTCATTTGTGTTCCCAGTGTGTATGCCCAGCTAACAGGAATACAAGATAGCATTTATTCTGCTAACGTTCAGTGAATAGATAAATCACAAATCAAATCAAGTAATTAGAAATCAATCATACCTTTATCATTTTCATCAAGCAGTTGATATCAACTGAAAATCATACATCACATCACCAGAAACTATTGCTTACTTAAGCATGTGTTCAGCAAATACCGGGAGTCCAATTTCATAGAGCTAATTAACAAATTGAAGTATGAAGACAAAATCTGCAGGGAACTGGTCAGAGGCAATACAGATTTACACATGAATTTTTCACTGGTAACCTGCTTTTGCAAAAAAAAAAATTTCTGTGCTTAGCAGCTACATGAAATTGACCTCTGACTGCATCATTTCACCTCTGAACCCTCCTTACCAGCTGTTCAGACAGCTGCGCCTTGACCACCTTGTAGTCGGATGATGGGTCCTTCTGGTGGGTGACCAGCTCCTCTGTTTCGCCGATCCAGGACATCAGGCTGTTCAGGGCCTCCTGGAACTTGCCGCAGCGCAGTAGTCCCTCGTTCAACTTGGCCTCCCGGTCGGAGTTCTGTACGTCAATTCAGAGATGCAAGAGCAATTTTGATAGGTCGAACCAATTCTCCAGGGGCTGCGATTCGCCAACCTAGCTTTGTTAATATTCAGGCTAATCCCAACACCAAGCTTCAAATGAGTTAAACACAAAATGTGAGAGCAGCCACTAAGTCAAGACAATTTCCATCTCTGTCTAACTTCGATGTAGTTCAACTTGAACACGTTCTTGTACACCAATGAGCATTGTCCTCCATATGACTGGAAACTTGGCTATCAAACTACAGGGAAGGAGGAACTATAAGACTTTTTAGCAAATAAGGAAATCTCAGAAGCTGTCGGGCAACAGCTCATTTTCATGTCCTTTGGTGGACAAAGTTGGGCCACTATCAAGTATTTGCTAGCACCAATTGTTTGCTAGTACACAAAACTGTCACCACCAAATGGCACCACTTCTTTCTCTATTAAAGAAAGCATCATTAATTGGTCAGGTTAACATCAATTGGTCAGGTTATCATCAACTGGTCAGTGGAAGGAAAGTCAGGTGCACTAGAGAGGGAGCCATCGCTTACTGCAGTCTTCAGCTTGTTCCAGCGGTCATTCATGGCCTCCAGGTCCGACTCCAGCTTGGTTGTGCTGACCCTGGGCGCAGCACTCTGGATCAGGCTCTGGCCCACGCGGTTGGCCTCACGGATTCGAGTCACCAGTGGGTCCACGTAGTTTCTGATGTAGGTCTGCAGGCAAATGAAATACTGATATCTGCATTTATCAAGACGCTACAAAGGAGAGATCACTTCCTACAGAGACGATTACTGGTTGAACCACGAAAATACTAGACTGCTTTCAACTAACCCACTCAGTTATACAGAAAATTTTTGACAATTAGAAGTAGCTTTTTGGAGAACCTGTCATCCTGTGAAGAAAAGGTAATTGTTGTCATGACTCAACTGGCCCAACAGTGCTGTTTGAAAAACAGTAAGGTTACAATTTTAAGAGTCTATGAAAAATCTCTCTAAATGCATGAGCAGTTCCAAAGTGCATTTTCAAGACAAAATGCACAACATAAATTGCCAAATGACCCAAAACCCAAGGGGTCTGGTGATTTGAAATCAATGCAAGAGAGCACAAGTTTCGTTTCGAGCTTCAAAATTCTGAATTTGAATCAGGGTATATTTATATTATACAGCATAAATTGCCCAAATGCCCCAATCCAAGGCTCTGATGATTTTCAAGTTTTTCCTCATTTGAGGTGTTTCCTGCCTACCTTGAACTCCTTCATCTGCTGCTTGACCATCTCCACGTCAGCTCCCACGGGCCGCTGGCTGCGCTGCTGGGCTTCCGCCTTCTCCAGGCTCTCATCCACGTCCTGGAGGATCTGCTGCAGCGTCTTGAGCCGGCCGGCCGTCTTCTCTAGCTCGCCCTGCCGGTTGTTGGTGCGCTCCCGGATGCGGGCCCAGCGCTTGTTCAGGTTGTCCAGCTGTTAGGAACGGCAAAATGAAAACCCACGATTAGAGCTTCTGCCCTTCATTAAGAATGGGCAACCATATTAAGAGATTTTGGTGTCTTGTCCGGCTACGGTCACTTGTATTTTAAGTCGGACAAGATCTGAGTGAACCGTTTAAATATTCAACCAGCTGAAATTTTGGCCTTAAGAACTTTGCAAGAAGTAAGTGGACAGGCCTTTAGTCTCCAGGGTCTAAAAGAGAGTCATCTTGGGAAGTTGAACATTTTTGGCTTGTTTCAATACGAAACTTTAATCAAACATATTCTGGCTCTCTCAAACACTGGCAGTAGGCTAGAACAGCTTCTGTGGTATCAGTAAGACAGCAGCTGAGTTTGGTCATTTCAAGTCAGATGGACTACCTGATCTCTGAAGCCGTCTGGGTCGGTCATGTAGCCACGGTCGATGATGTCGCGGAAGTTCTTGTCGGCTCCCAAGAGAGCCTTCTTGATGTCATCCAGGTCGTCATGGAATTTCTGATGTAAAAAGTACAAAAAAATCTTGTGAACGCTTTACCACAAAGCCAGGAAGTTTTGCGAAAGGAAAGAAATCCCAGACCCACACTTGTGCAAAAGAAAGCAACTTTCTGTAAAATTTTGAGTGACCTCTTTCTGTGAATAGTTGGGATGTCAGAGCAGTGTGTAGAAGTGGATATGGTTTAATTCACATGAATGATTTTCACCTGCCAAAGTGTATCAAGGGCCAAGGCTGGAAATGCCTAATATAATGTCTATAACTGGCGACACCAATTCTTGTTAATTTACTGTTGAATACATTAAACTCCCACCTGTGTTTCTTCGATCTGTGTGTTGATGATTGGCATGTCTCGGCCGACTGGGGAGAAGTTCTCCAGTTGCTCCTCGGACTTTGTCAGACGAGAACCAATGTCATTCAGCAGTGACTAAAAACAAAATCAAAATCAAACAGGACAAACCACTTTATTCAAGATCAGTTCCAGAAACAAAACCAAATTTGTTTTTAAAAATACTACTTAAATCTACAAGAACAAGAGCAAGTTACCGACAACTCTAATTACATCAGCAGAAATATCCATTTATAACTTTATTTTGATGTTAGTTCTGGGGATTTCCGCTTTGATGGAGATCAGGTAACAATTCTTGAAGGACTCAGTATGGAGTGATTCTCGTTTTACTGCACGGAAGGAAATGAAGCTTGTGTCCCCCCCAAAATGCCGTCGACTTTCAACTGTACACCTTGCGAGTTCAGTACGCACCTGGAATGCACGGACTTCCTGGTTGCCCACCTCCAGCTGGTTGCGCCTCTCGCCCACCATGGCCTTCAGGCGGCTGTAGCGGCGGTTCACACCGTCCACCTCATCCACGATCTGGCCCGTGTCGGCGTGCGAGGGCGCTGCTGCCATCAGGTCGTTGCTGCGGTCCTTGACCACCACGATTGTCTGCTCGATGTTATCCATTTCGTCTTGCAGCATCTGGATATTAAAGGATGCCAGAATATTAATCCGAAATACACTTTGGAAACGCTCAAAGCCAATACCACAATTATTAAAAGACAATTCTCAAAACAAATTTCATGTCTCTACAATTCAAATCATTAGCAGACACATCTAAACAAAATGAACCTTAGGAAGGGCAAATGTACATACAAGTGCAACCGTTATCTGACATTATTTCGTCATGAAAATTACTGTATAAAATTTCACAGACACACCATCTTTAAGTGTAACATTTAGATGAAACATAACTAAAACATTCTATGACAAATTATGGATGTTTCTGTTACTGTATTTGACAGAGTACCAGGAAACAGCTCAAATGATTCTCTGACATCTGATGGTCGTACTGACCTGCAGTTTCTCCAGGTTGCGTGGGTCCTTGGAGCCCAGTGCATCGTGAGATGCTAGCCTCTCCTCAATGTTGGCCAGCGAGCTCTGCGATTGGTTGACATTCTCCTGGAAGCTGCCCAGCCGGTCGCTGAGGTCCTCCAGGACGCGTAGTTGGTTGTTGACATCTGAGAAGGCCAATCAGGTCAAAATATGTCATCATGTCAAAACATATCATCGCGTCAACAGATATTAATACGTTAAATATATCATCACAGCAGAACATATCCCACATTACTGCATGGTATTTCAGGGAGGTTTATTTCAATCTTATGGGACTGGTATATGTTTGTGTTTTAAAGTGTATACACAAACAAGTAAATCTGGTATGAAGACTAATTCACAGAAGATGTAATGTGGAGGCTTGTCTGGGAATGGTTTGGAAGAAAAATGCTCAAATATTTTTCCATACGCAACACACTGACTTGGTTTTATTGACTGCATTGTCTTTAGACAACAGTGCAAAACAGAGATCTTTTGAGACAACAGGGATAGTTATTGTGTCTGTTCCGTTTTGTTGTATTGTAAATTGATGGTAGCCAGCCAGTGATCATCACTGATATCCTCCAAAATCTCTCAGCTCACGGGAAATAGATTTACAAGGGCTGGCTTCGAATCGTAACCCCCATCTCAATAAAAACAAGAAAGTGACGAAAAGGAATATCCAATGGCATCTCACCTCTCTGGAGTTTCTCCCATCTGTCGTTGACCTCCGACACCTGGTCTTTGACGAAGGGGTGGTCCACGTCCGTCTTGTTGACCAAGTCATTGCAGGTCTGGTTGACAGCCTTGTGGTGGTCGCGGTGGTTCTCCACGTCATCCCGAAGTTGCTTCAGGCAAAGAGAAATGAGAAGAATAATGCTTGTGAACGGTATAAGTTTCAAGAGCTGCGCTTCCATGAAAAAGGTAAATGTATTCAACTTTGCCAAACAAATTAAAACACATTTATGCATTTTTCAAAATAGGAAAAATTTGAAACGCTTGACATGAAACCAAAAAACTGTCTTTTTGATGCAAAATTGTGTCCATGAACATACCTTGACAACTTCGTACTGCCGCTTGACCACGTTGGGCTTCATGGTGACCGGCCCCAGCGAGGCCAGCCGGTCCTCGGCGCTACGCAGCCAGGGCAGGAACTGGTGCAGCTCATCCGTGTACTGCTTGGCCCGGCCGCTGCAGTCCCGCAGCCGCTCCTGCCGCTGCGCCGACTTGTCATTCACGCTGGCCCACTTGGCTACCAGGGCATCACGCTTGCGCTCCAGGGCCGACTTCTCCGGGCCGGGTGGTGCCTCCTCGCTCAGGCCGTTCATCTTCTCGATGATGCGGTCGTAAGTGTAGACCTGCTTGACAATCTCCTTGGGTATCTCCTGAAGGCAAAAGAAAGGTTCCACATTTTTGGACTGTACTATTGTATTACCCTTCAAAACAGAGGTAAAAGTGGAACAGCGGTGAACTAATAAAGGCCAAATGAATACAGGCAACCAGATTTCAGAAGTAAGGATTCCAGTTTATCACTGCTGAAGCTTCTTTAAGCTTGATCCAAGTTGTATCATGCAATTAAAGTTGGTTCAGGCAAGTGTGTAAACCACTGGTAAGACACAAGCCAGGTATTACATCGTCCTTGAAATAAGATCTCTGGTGAACACAAAACCCACAGCATGGAACCTTAGACAAACAGATGTAGAAATGTATTTGACTGAAACGGTGTTTGAATTATTTAGAATCAGTTCCAAGACACATAGGAAAAAGTCACATTCCTATCAAATTTCTATTTACTGAGTGGTCCTTACCTCATGTTCCACCAGCTGCCTTCTGAGGACATCGGGCTTGGCTGAGATGGGCTTAGAGGACGTCAGCTCCCTGTCCTTGGTGTCTAGCCACTGCAGCATGCTGGTGTAAGAGTCTTCAAAGTCCTTGGACTGCAGGAGGGCAGCCTGCAGCTTTCCTTGTCTCTCATCTGCAAAACAACCAAATACAAATTTTAAATGATGGCTCGTGTTAAAATTTGACATATGTGTAGAAGATGGCCAATTTGAGAGGCTCAGATCAGGCTTGAAGTGTTGTTTAGTTTTATCGCACAGGTTTTTAATCAACGACAACTTACACAAGCTATCCCCTAAAAGGTCAAAAGCAAGTAATCAGATAGGCCATGTTAGAAAACAGGCTTTTGTTTCTGCACGGAGTCGGACTAAGCTTTCACCAAGAACAGTTTTTAGGGTCTTCCCTTGCAAAATACATCCTCCTCTGCACGCAATGTTCAGTTTTGATGGCCACTATTTGAACATGCTGGTTTTTACAGCGCATCGCATCTGCCAACAGGATACACAATGAACTGTCCCAAAATTCTTTAGGTTTCAGTGGAGAAAATTTACAGGACTCAGTGAGGTAGTTAGTTAACACTACTCTGGGAGTTAGTGTTCCATCTCAGTATGGAACAGAACCCAACGCCATGCATACCCAGTTTTCTGCAGAGTTCTGTGTAGGGAGTTTTGATGCTTTCCAATTTGAGGGTGACCTCAGCCTTGGCTGTTGTCTCTGGGTTCAGAGTAGTCAGTGCTCGGTGGACATCCGTCATGGACTCCACGGCCGGTTTCTTTCTCTCTGCTTCCCGCTGTAGCGTCTACAATTTGAAAAAAAACAAACAAACAAACAAACAAACAAACAAAAACAATGGAACATTTGTTTTATGGTACAATCTCTCAAAATAAATTTTTCATGCCAAGAAAGTAAGGTGAACAACATGTCCAGTTTCTATGACCCAAATTAACTTCAGATATCTTCCTTGTTCATATTATGAACAGTATTTGCCAGGCTAAACACATACAAATGACAAAATTTCCCTCAAAGATATATAACAATGTTTGAAGCATTACAACACAAATTCCTCTAGAGAATATACCAATCTACTGATCATCACGAAAATTATCTCTGTATTGACTTTACTCAGATAAATAAGTTATTTTTAAGACTACTGTCACTGATATTTTTAAACAATACTGTAACTGAAGACACTTCATTGTTTGGTTTTCTGTTATGACAAATTTGTTTGACTTACAAAATCAATCTTGGAGAGAAAAATAGAAGAGCAAAATGACAAAATATTTTGTCTACCTTTGTCTCCTCCATCTGCTGTCGGACAACGTCGGGGTTGCCGCTGATGGGCGCCAGCGCCGAGATCTTGTTGCCAAACTCAATCAGCCAGTCTGAGTTGTCGGCCAGCGCGTCGTGGAAGCGCTCGCTCTCCCGCAGCACCTCTTCCACTTGTCCCTCCCGGCCGTCCAGCCGCCGCTTGACCTCATCCCACAGCTGCTGGATCTCGGCCACTTGCTGTTGGACGGGCGAGGACTGGCGGGCGCGCGGGTCCTGCTTGTCTAAGATGGCCTGGCCGGCCTCCTTGATGTGGTCCAATTGGCCCTCGTGGGCGGCAAACTCGTCTTGCAGGACCTAGGGGTGGATGGGAAGAAGAGAGTATAGGGATGTCAGTCAGGGTTCCTGTCCATAGCCTGAAAATTGGCCAGAGACGCCTGAAGATGCCTTGTTAAGCCCTAGATTAGTTGAAATTTTTCCAAATTAAACATAAAAAGCCTGAAATCAAGGCTTTTGCCTAAATAAAAAAATGGCTTCCATGAGAATACATTTGCATTTCTGGATTTTGAGGACCAAATGAGGATGAGGTGAGCACAGTGTCCCTTTCCTACAATGTTCTTCCATTCAGTAGGTACACACACACACGTATGTTAGCGGTCCATTTTTCAACAAAATATCAAATTTTAAGGATAAGAGTGAATCCTCTGTTTGTTTGTTCATTTTCTCAATTAGAATGGCATGCGGTGCACATACATGTACATGCATGCAGGTTCAAACTTCAATTGGAGAGGAACATGATTTTAAATAGCAAGAATGCAATGGGATTTTAAAGGAAGTGGGATTTAACTATTGCTTTTTTTTTCAATGTCTTTATGATGCACAACGTTTGGACGAATTTATGCAAAGCTGGAAAGCCAGAAAAAAGTTGCTGAATTAGTTTCAGTGATGAAGATTGCTTCACTTGTTTCATGGCCTTGTTTCTCACGAAGTTTGAAATGTCACACAATTTTCAGCAAACATTGGTGTGAATGCCTCAGCTCAAAGTTGCACAAAGTGCATAAGGTTACGGAAAAGCATTTTCCGTGTTAGCACCGAGCCCCTTACCCACACGTAGACCTACATGTACACCACTGAAACGTGAACCTACTTCAAAATGGCAACCTGGACTATAAAAAAGTGCAAGATTAGCGTATGTCTATCTAAATATCATGCCTAATTAATATTTACCAAAGCTTTGAAAACTCACACGAGAGGTGTCATGTCGACAGAGATTTTAAAGGTTATATTGATTTAGTATTCCATTAGTGGATCAACCAGGCACTTACACATCCACTGAAGCAGCTGGTTCTAGTCAGACAGACATATAGCCCGAGGTGATATCGAGGATTGATATTTGAGGAGATATAACTGTGATATATTCATATGCCAAGTCAAAGTTGGAGTGCTTGTTTTCTTAGGTCGTAGTTATTGCAGCCAATCTCGGTAATTAATCTAACTGCCTCATCGAGAACCTGGGTCAAGATTCCATGGGCGACTATCTTTGAGCAATTAACCCTGTACTTTGCTTCAAATATGAAGTGTGTTTACAGTAATAACTGGTCCACTTTTATCTACAAAGAATGGGAAACTTGAGAACCGAGCAATGGAGGTTGCTTAGCCAATATTTGCATGACACATTTACAATCCCACTCAAGACGAAAACATGCAATACTAGGGTTAATACCGATCTTGAAATGACTGAACAGTGCCAAAAGCATGCACAGAATATTGAAGTAAATGAAATTCCCATTTAATATCTTATTATTTATTTGGAAACTGCTGGCATGTATGTGCATGTAATTATTAGATTTAACAATCGACAGCATTCCCACACAACACTGTTAGCCATCAGCACGGTTTAAAAAAACCCAACTCGCACTCAATGGGGAAGATTCGGCAAGAAACCTCAATACATGCTACAGTGTCCTCTACAAATTTTTTCACGGGATTTCATCCCCCATTATGACGTTGACCGAGGGTCTGATGTGCCCCACACCCTGGTCCCACGTACCTCCACTTGCTGTTTCTGGTTTCGCAGGATGCCCGGCTCGATGCCGATGGGTCCCAGCACCGCCGTCATCTTGTCCTTCTCCCCCAGCCATGTCTTGAGGCGGGTGTAGGCCTGCTCGAAGTCGGTCAGGCTGTTGATGGCGCCCTCAAGCTCCTTGGTGCGCAGCTTGGCCTTGTCCTGGAGCCGGATCCATCGCTCCTCTGCAGAACAGGAAAATGAAGCAACCAGTCAGATTGTGCCATTTTCAAACAAACAAAAATAAACAAGGAAAAATTGGTTTGTGAAAAGAGAAGACATGCCCATGACAAACGCGCTGCCTTACTTTCTCCTAAAAATTTAAAATCCCAATTTTGGTTTGTACAGTGACGGATGAAACACAAACGAACATGTTCTAGTAACACGTGACAGATGTGTGGACATTCAGCCTGCTGACGTTCATCTAAGATGCACCCATGTACCTGTAAGGAATTGCTGGTTCTGAGAAATGTAGTAGGAATTATGGCTAAAATCGTGGACAGAGACTCTGTGGTAAACCACAAATTTGGGACAGGATAACGAATGCACCTAAAGTGCATGTAAGACAAGAAACAGCACAGAAGTACCGCCGAATAGCCAAGCACGGAGAAAAGCTGGCAACACATGTGAAAGAAATTTGGCAGCCGAGAGTTGGGCTGGTCTACCTTCTGAAGCTCTGCCGTAAAGCCGATAGATCCTGTCTCCTTGGGAGATGATGTAATAGTGGCATCCGTGATTTGTGGCCCCGGTTGGGGGAAAGAGACACAGGATGATGATTGTGAGGATCAACGGAGCGACGTAGAGCAGCAGCCAGTCCAGCATGGCGGGGACTATGAGGGACCAGTCTGGTCAAATAAACATGGTAGGGTGAGCAGTGCAGCCAGCTAACAGATTCAGCATTGCCTTTGGAATCTAGCTTGGTATCTTGCACTTGAAAAACAAGAGGGTGATACCAGTCTGGCATCTGGACTCTGAAGATGACAAAGTGTTCTGATGAGGGGGTATGGGTACCATCTCACGTCTCTAGGGCACCAGACTGCATCTGGTTGTCATCTCCCAGACAGGACTCGAGGAGAAGACCAATGACTTTGACATGATTGGAATGATGGGAATTCACCTCTGGGAACGGGGGTGAGCGTGGTGGTGGATGACAGCCTATGTCCTCTCAGAGTTTGATGGTTCAACGGTTGGGAGAAACCAGTCCAAGACAACAACCATGTAGGAGGAACCATGTGATCCTCTATTCATATCAGTGTACATCTATTAAGATCATAGATGTGGTTGAAATGGAGAGATTTATCAGCAAGTTTTTGGTATGAAGTATGAGACTACAGAAGAATGATGCACTGCCTCAAGCGATCTTGCAATTGGGGAAAGCTATTCTGTGTGACAGGTATGTATGAACAAGTCAGTGTACAATTACATTAATCACTCATTTTTTTGCCTATTTAAAGACTACTTAATTATGAGAAGCAATTAAAACTTATCTACACATAATAGAAAAGAAGCGGTTAGTTATCTCAATCAATTTATAAAAGTCTCATAAATTTGACTTTGAAAACATTAAAGCTGGAAACACCAAAATTTCAAACTTTCTGGACTGAAATGTGCCAAGTTGGGAAAATTTATCAGTAATTTCTATGTGCAGACCCTTAACTCTGACCAAGAAATCTGCTGTAAAGATAGATGGTTAACAGCACTGACTGGCAAAAAAGAAAAAAAATAAATAAATCTGGAGAGGTCAATGGTCAAGTTTCAGTGAGTCTGAAGTGAAACCCAACACCAGTGGTTAATGTACACCTCCTTGGTTGAGCCCCAAGGCAGCCTGCTGTGATCCAGGACTGGCATTGTGAAACATAACAAAGGCCCTGTCACCTTGACCAAGGGGAGCAGGGTCCAATGACAGTAACAAGCCAGGTAAATGTAAATGATACTGGACCAGGAACTCAGCGAGGTGTGCTGAGGTGTGACCCTTACAGCTCTTGTCGGTGGTAAAGTGAGCTTCAAAGAAAGGTGATCCCGGTGCAACTGTGGCGTTACCACCAGACCTTGTTCAAACTTCCTGGAGGATGGAGTGTTTAATGAGGGTCGGATATGACCTCCTATTGGTATAAAGTAGATCACATTTGGTAAATAGATCGGGGTAAGCCAGCAAGTGAACCAGGATTTTTTTTTCCATTTATAGTTTTTTTTTCCTTCTGTTTTTCAGATGTTGACTAAACCAAAGAATACAAGACACCATTGGGCTCGACTGTGCTTGCTTGACTGTGGTGTTCTGTGGTTGAAACTTGTTTTGATGCAAAGTCCTGGGGATTACATGGAACAGCCAGAGAAACTTTCATAGTGTGAAGTTGTAGCTTGTCAGTGAAAATGATGGTTCACACTTTCGCTTTTCCAAGCAATATTCTATGCTTAAAAATATTGAGGATTTCAGCCCTTGCATGAATAATCTGACAACTGATCCACCTGCAACAGGCTGATGCTGGGAACACACCTCCGACATTCAGGTGCGCGTGTGTTATACTAATTAGGGGGAAAAAACAGGGTTTCAGCTCAAGTCCCATTGCTTTCTACATGCAGTAAGCTACCCTACATGTACATGTACATGCAGGCCCAGCCGCACCTGTCAGCGACCACTACCTCCATAAAAATAGAAACCTCCTGGACTCATGCAACGTGTACATGAATCACAGAACATTCTACGGTCACAGGAAATCCCCTCCACAGAAAACAGAATTAAACTGCTATAGGGAAAGCCATTATTTATCTTGATAAAGCCTGGGCAAACAGATTTAAGGATTAGGGCTATTAAGTAATTCCTACATACTGCATTTGGCTGTGATAAGGGCATTCCTCTATTGTGTGTCACAGGATTACCTTTCAGTGGGCATTATTCTTGTTAAACAAACATAACTGTTAACTTGGTGGAAGCTTAATACAATTTCCCTGGTTCCTGCCACTGTACTTTTGAACAATTTCTTAAAGAAAGCACTCCTTCATAATCCAGAAACTGACAGTGTAAAATGCCCCCTTATGAACTTTGTTCATTCACATTTTTGATGGCTAAAAATAACCCCGGGGCCAGTGAAAGGAAAATTCATTTCAATGGGATATGAATAATGAATAGAGAACTCGTGGTCCAACCAAGGACCTCGTGAACCATATACTGGTACCCCGTACTTTCTTGGTGAATGTCCCCAGTTAAGGGTACTTGTATGAGTTAGAAGCCATCAAATTTACAATACATCTGAATATCATGTAAATATTCCTTTTCCCTAGCTTCCTAAACTGCTTAAGAACATCAACTGCTACCCAGATTGTTGGTGCTCTCTCTCAAAAAAATAACGGGTGCAATACACAGCCAAGAAAACAAATCACAAGGGCTCTTCATCAAGACAGGTTGAACATTTCAAAGCGGTCATCACATTTTCAGTATTCATGGTAAAATTTTCCCAACTTGAAAGGTAAGGGATGCAGATCCCACATTGTGTGGTAATCAAGGATCTGGGTGAATTTTTAATTGTGAACAGGCCTTAGTCACTGCATGGAAGGGAAAAACAGTAGATGAAACAATATTGTAACAAATTTCATAAACAGAAAGACACTTATGGAAATGAAATATCAGGGGCTCTCACTCCACGCACAAAACTTGCTGGCGTTGAGAATAGCTTCAGGCCACACTCATGACAAAATAAGCTACTGTAAATGAAAAAAAAAAGAGCCCAGTCGCGTAAGACACTGCAATTCAATTACAGGAAAGCTACTTATCCATGGCTCACAGGAGCGTGATAACATGTGTTCTGAAGCCAGCCTGCCAGCCAGAGAAACATAAATTCATGATCCAGCCAACAAGCATTAACTGATACCGCTTTTCTTTTTTCACTTTTCCTTTTTTTTAATTCAAGAACCGCCCCTCAGTCTTCCAAAGTCTGACACTATCCAATAAATCAAATCTTCCAAAGTCTGACACTATCCAATAAATCAATGTCATTTTTTTGTACTTCAACAAAACTAATTGAGGCACTGGCTCCAATGTTAAGTGATACAGGCCGAGCCCTACAATCTGTTCGTGACACAATTGTGTCAGGAAGCCATCAAAATACAGCAGAACCTGTGTGTGGATTTGGATCGATTAAAGGAAGTGAGGCTTCGTGTTACTGTAACATTGGATTCATAACTGTATAAATAAATATTGTGCTAATTGCTAGACACTTAAACCTGCACGACCAATGACCTCTCAAAACCCCTGTGATTATTTTTTTGTGAGGAAGGAAAGTGATGCAGTGAAACATACGAATTCATCATTCCTTTATGGAATGCAGCAAAAATTCTACGTGGTGGTGTCAATGTCATTTGTATGTCATTGTTACTACGTGAAGAAATGCGGCACGACAGCTTTCAGGCACAAATCGCTACAAACCAAGGCAGAGAATACAGAATGCATTCCCACACTTATACTTGAGTGGCTGACATGCTACGGCCTTCGGAGAAGCTACGGTAATGAGACACACCACATATGAAGCTATATGTGTCTCCCAAGCCTATAAATAAATACATTTTCATTTGGCCTGTGCATTTACATGCATGCGTTACAAGCAGTCCCGACAATTTACTGTATGACCCACAAACCTGTCACACAGTAAAGTGAAGGCTGAAATTACAAGGCACACACACACTGCATTTTTATTGCCGAATACAGCCGTATGTGTCCTACATCACAGTACAATGTACAATACTATGCATAATGTAGAATTTTTTATCGGTCTATTTCCTCAAATTAGATTGTTAGTCTGGGGTTGTGACTGATCTGGTTCGCCTGTAAATCATCTTCAGCCATTGCTGCTCCCCCCTATTTATAATCGGCACGTCACTCCATCCCTTATCAAGCAGAGGCTCAGGATTGACCTGAAACAAATAGGAATGTGCTGGGATTCTACCCCTCAGTGCACAGGGTTTACGGTTAAAGGGACGGCTTTCACTAGCATATCTGTAGTGTGCATATGGAAGAAAAGTGGGCTAATTTGGGTTGGATGACTGTGCAAAGAGTCGGTTTGCTCGTAACCGTGGAAACTACCACACTCATCAGAGTCCTGCCCTCCTTTTGCTAGTTATTTTTCTGCTTAGTTTCTCATTGGGACAGGTGGTATTACGCAAACCACTGGTCGTCATCCAGAATTCAACTCCT